TTTCAAAAGCCAATTTTTTCGCTGTTTTATTTTCAATTGAAGTGCCGTTTAAGGTGTTTCACTTCATTCGCTCGTTAACGAACTCAACACAACCGTTTCAAGCTGCAACTGTGCCACGCAATTATAAGTAATGCAAAATGCCTATAATTTTTATTCAATATTTGTGGTCACTTTTTAAAATTTTCAAATCTGAAATAATCTTGATATGGATTCTCCTTCACCGATATTTTCCATCAAGCTTATATGAACATTCCTTTGCGTTTGCGGAGCTTCGTGTTGAACATTTTAAGACATGAGCGTCGTACGTCGCAAGAACGCCTTTCCTCTTCGGTTTCATCGTGACCCGACAGCGCCATTACCATTAGAGAAACGCTGCAAACCGCAGGAATTTTAATGAATTACGAGGCTGAAGGATCTTGAAAGTGGCAAGCGGGGCGCAACGACTAAATTGTGTTACAAATTGAAAATGTAGGACATTTTATTGCTGCATTCGATAATCTTAGCGCTGCTTAAATCGGTTTAGCACTGTTTATTGATATCTTGTGAGTCTCAACCCACTTCGTTTTGCTGAACTCGACTTACCTCAGCTCTGTTGTAGGTACCTCAGCAATGCAGTTCCGATCAGAAGAAGAACAAGATAAGATCAGTATTAATCAAGTTATGCACTGCTAAAATTTTCTCAGCATTTGTCTACTCTCAATAACACCAGTGGCAGAAGAAACAGCTGTGCTGCAGCAATTTGAGAGCTCAACAACACTTAAACAGCACGAACAGCTCAGCAATAGGACTAACAGCTCACTAGCAGTAGTGACAAAAGTAAGAGCTCATTACCAACAGTTCATCACTATTATAGCTGAGCATAAGTAGGGCTGATATAACCGCCTGTTGATGACATGCTAATAGAGCTGCTCGAACTTAACGCACTCTGCGCTGTCCCTACAACAGCTCTACTAACTTCTCCACGTGACGTGTCGCCAGCTCAACTTCGTAAATCAACTTCATCGATGTGCATTGACACACACATCGCCTCACATGACTGCACATCGGCAGCCATGTACACGGGGAAAAAGATGCACCCGAGAAAACATTTTCGAACATCGACGAACACTGGGAAACATGGTGGAAATTAACTCAAACAGGCTCACATCAGCGAACATTGATGAACGTCAGTTCACTTTAGAATATATTTAAATTTGAGCAACTGACTGCTGCAGTGCAGTGCGTCCTTCAGTGAAAAAATAAAGGATATGTTGAAATTGTGGAGGCTGGGGATGTGATAAGGTTGGAGGTGTGAGATGACAAGACCTGTTCATTTAATTGGGAGCGCGACTACCAGATGACAAGACCTGTTCATTTAATTGGGAGCGTGACGACAAGATGACAAGACCTGTTCATTTAATTGGGAGCGTGACGACAAGATGACAAGACCTGTTCATTTATTCCGCTTACAACAGAGCGCGTCTAACCATCCTTAGTACCGCGCCAATAAATTCCTCGGAAATTCATGCATGCAGCAGCCAAGATTTCATTATGAGCTAGCTGCCGGGATCACCAGTTCAAGCCAGAGATTTCTCCGAGATAAATTCATCCAATTAATTCATCTCCCAAAAACATTCCTCACGAAACTTTTTCCAATTAATAAGAGCAGCGAGAAGAAAAAAGCGCGAAAATTTTCGTGAGAAGGCTTGCTCGGCGAGCTGCATTTCACAAGTTTGATGGTCAGCTAGAAATTTCTGAAGATTTATTCCTGATTTTCTTCTGCCGTTACATGCATTCATGCAGCCAAACACTTTATGCCCTTAACACTTTGCTTCAATTAACCCATTTCCAATGAAAGTCAGATTTTTGTTTCTTCATTGTTGAAATAATCAGATTTTTTATTTTTTTTATGGATTTTACGGAAGAAATAACAATCCAACCATTTCCAGCTTCCTTTTTTTCTACTGAACTCTGTTATGCCATAGCACTGTCTTTACATGCGTGTAAATAATTTATGCTAAAAATCTAATCAAACGGGTTTAGCATGTACATCCGACATGTAACGTTAATCCACATAGAAATCATCGTATACGAGAGTAATATGTTTCAGTATTCACTGAAATTGTGCTGAAATTAATCTTTTCCTGTGCATTAGTCAATCGATTTGCTCACAAGAATTACATAACATGAACCTTGTGTGCATGGATATGATTTTCAAGTTTTTAATATATTTCAGTTGCCTCTGCAATAATAGGAAGAAACAACTTTATTACAAATTCTTTTTAAGCTTATCATAAGTCTCTTTGCCGACCCTATCACTTTCATCTACAGAGATGACAGAATAATACGGGGCTGAATTTATGGCCCGCTCACTGAAATGGACTCAGCTTCTTTCAAGCCCGCCTTCGATTTAGTATAAAATTCGACAAACATGCAATATCTCAAGGATTTAATTAGACCGACATTTGTTCCTTCGACTTCATGTGTTAATTTGACACGAGTCGGGAACTTTCGCCCTGTCAGTCTTGTAAGTGCGGTCGGTTTGTAATCAAATAGAATCAGTGATGAGGGATGGTGTTATCGATCACATGTCTATCAACCACCTCCATTCGGACAAGGCTTCATTCGCGGTAGGTCTTGCCGAAGAAATTTACTATCTAACTTGAATGGTTTGACATGCTTAATGTACAAAAGTGAACCAAGCGATGCAGGGTATCTCAATTACGACAAATCAGTTGACAGTGTTCTGCATGAGTGGTTGTGACTTAATGTGAAGTTTTAATGAATAGATGAAAATGTACTCGAATTTTCAGAACCAGAAACTTTCTAACGGTTAGACGGAAACAGATCAGTGTTAATGGAACATCCTCGTTTATAGTGGTGCGCTGCGAGAAGCGATCTCAGGTCGGTGTCATTCGCTGCGTTCAGAAACGATTGACCAGAAGCAGTATACGTGCCAAGTGGACAATACAGTGAAGAGTTGCTTCAATGTATTGTACAGTGAAGTTTACAATACACTGTACTGCACAGAACTATGAAGCGTACAATACCCTGTACTGCACAGTACTGTGAAGTGTACAAAAATGTACAGTACAGTGAAGAACACGAAAATGAAAGTTCATATGCAAGATGATCTTGGATGGGGTGGATACAGTAGCATTCGAAATTTTTAGACACACAACGTTCCCAATTTCTTTACTCCGTGAAGTTAATAAGAAAAGGCACAAATTCGATACTAACTTTGTCACTTCAAAATGTTTCCAGTAGCACTTACTACCGAATCGTATACCGACAAATAAGGCAGTTTCTTTTATTGTCGTCTGCGAAGCCTCCGGTGATTTAGAATATTCTGGCACGCAACATATTAATCAGTTGCGTGTTAATGAGCTGACAAGTGGAAAGAACTTCACCTCGATACGTATAATGGACAACAAATCTACGTTATGAGAAGACTTGAGAGAAACGCTAGAAAAGACGGCGCATGAAGAGACGGCATCAAAATCATATCGGGGAGTTCACATCGACTAAGAATTACTTAATTTATTACGATTCTGTTTACAGATTTTAACAATTGTTACGCTATTTTTTCGAACGAATAAAGTGCAAATACTGATAAAATATTAGTATTTAGATGTAGAATCCATGAAGTTGCTTTTTGACGACCAACTGCCGTCGCACCAGGAATTCGGAATCGCTATGTTATCTTGAACTGCAACGCTTGACCAGGTTATTGAAATTTATTTCAAACATTACAGATCATTGACTGTAAAATGCCTTAGAACAACGCTGACATTTAGAGCAACGCTGACATTTAGAACGCTTACATTTAGAACAACGCTTACATTTAGAATAGAATAGAATAGAAGTGTCGGCGTTGAAGAAATAGGCCCATGGCCTGTTGCCGATTCTTGAACTTTTCGTGACTTGATTCACAAGGGATCCGGCCTTTGGAACCCGATCTTACTTATTGCCTGATCCGTAATTTGCTAGGCATTTTAAGACTGAACATATGCTCCTGCATAGCTTCGTCTAGTCTGTTTTTGAAGATGTTCATACTCGGAGCTTCAACGATGCTATCAGGGAGGCTGTTCCACATGTCGGTGACTCGAAGCGAGAAGAAATGTTGTCGCATGGATGTGTTCCAACGCTGTTTTTTTAGTTTATAGCCGTGGCCCCTGGTGTTGGTTCTTGTTTCAACGCTGTTTTTTTAGTTTATAGCCGTGGCCCCTGGTGTTTGTTCTTGTTTCAAATTTTAGTAATCCTTCTGGGACCTTGTATAAGCCATGAGTATACTTGTATACTTCAATGAGGTCCCCACGCAGGCGTCGATAATGGAGGCGTGGAATTCTTAGAACAGCGCTTACATTTAGAACAATGCTTACATTTAGAACAACGCTGACATTTAGAACAATGCTGAAATTTAGAACAAAGCTGACATTTAGAACAATGTTGCATCGTTTACGCTCCAGTTACGCTACAAAACGTCCGGATATACTCTTTTGGTCTCTACCCGGAGGGTCGTAATGTTCATTCCGAGTGGGTTATCAAAACAATTACTGTGTGGGTCTTCATAATATCCGATTCTACCCAATTTCATACCCGATTCTAGTTTTACACGATTCTAGTTTCTACCCGGGGTCATATTTTTCACACGAGTTCAGAAAAACTACTGAAATATGGGTGGCGAGATGCATTTCGGCTTGATAATGATCAGTAGAACCGACCTTTCATATGAAACAGAGATAAAATTCGAATCGAATAGCTGGAATGTAACCGCAAAATGAGTTGAGACGTTTGGTTAATGATTTTTTTCTTTAATTTCAACTTTCCTATAGAAAAAAATCTTCATACAGTCAACATTACCGGTTAAGTTTTCATGCGACTACTTCACAATCATAGTTCAGGAATCCAAGCGGAATATAAATCTCTTTTTATAATTTTATGGCTTCAACAAAATTTCACTCAACTGCATTTTGTCCTATCAGAATTCCGTTCCGCCTTATGCCGCCTTAATATCAATCGTAGTTCTTGAAAATTTGATAACTCGACCAGCTGATGTAAACATTGTCATGTCCAGTCAGTTTAGGCGTTACAGGTGGCCCGAATTAGACTATCTCGACACTTTCAAGTCATCAGCAACAGCTGAAGCCTGATACTAAATACCACGGTACCAATCAGAAGTCATGTCTCGAATTATAGTGAAAAACTTGCCTAAAATTGTAAGTAAAAGTGCCAAAGAATGTGATGATTGTAGCCTTTTTTTATTGGTGTAGCAATGAATGAGTAAATTAAGCTTTATGTTGAAGTTTGAACTTTGTTTTGAAGTTCATTCCTCTAAACTAGCAATTACCATCACTTTACTGTCACACTCAACTTGCTGCCCTTCAATAGAAACAATTTATTTTATTAACCAAACTATGCAAATGCAACCTCTTTCTAGCACAATCAAAAAAGCTTTTTAATACAGAAGAAGTAGAGCCTTGGTTAATGACATTTATGATAGTAATCTCAAATCTGTTCCTGAAAGGTTTATGTTAACTGAAAGTCTAACTCTAAAACATTAGTTAATTTAAATACCTAATTTCTCCCATAAGAAACAATGCAGGAGAATGCAATGCAGGAGCCAGGGTGCAGAGGGTGGATGCAGCATTGCCAATATATGGGTTTTTAAGCCCTAAGCGTTGCCGGGTAATTTTAAGATGCGTTGCCAGGTAATTTTTAATGAAAAGCCATTTATGCTGAGTAATGAAAAACTATTCACAAGCCACGAACTTATTTACAAGGTTGCATGCACGTGTCACCCCAAATAACTAATTTTACCCTAAAAACAGTCTGATTGTACAGCCAGGGTCAACTGAACATGTGATAAGGCAGTCTGACCGTTCTAATGTGACTGCAACTACGTAATCGTAAACTTGATGTTTACATTTTTTTGGTGGAAACTCATCGCAACTGATTTCCGGACAAGCTTTACTGCATCCTGATCCATATTCCATCCAACATACCAGAAACCTTACTTTTTTTTAAATAGTTGGCCGAAGACTGACGAATATATTAAATGCAAGAATTTCAATCTAAATGTGTCGGCAAGATATTCTGAAGGCATAAATTTTGCTACTGAAGACTTGACAAAAAATGTAAATGGCGAGTGAAAGGTGTGGACTGGGATAACTTTAGTGCGAAACTTACTGATACAGAATGGGAAGTGACAAGTGATGTGAATGGTATGAATGAACAACTCAAGAAATGTATGAACGAGGCTGCAAGGGCCGCATGTGCAAGGACAACTAAGAATAAACGCAAAAGCCAAAGAATTAATGAAGTCTGGTGGAGTAGTGATGTGAGAGTGGCAAGAAGTGAACGAAAGAGATGTAATCGAGTCTGTAGGCAACTTCGGAAAAAGAGGCATGAAAGTGAGGAATGTGAGCAGGAATATCAGGAAGCATGGCAGAGGTACGAAGAACAACAGAGAAGAACCAAAACTATCATTAGAAACCATATTGTTGAGTATGAGCGAAACAGAATAAATTAATTCGTTATGAAGGGAGAGAGCTGTCTCTTATACACATCTAGATGTGTATAAGAGACACACGCAGATGTCGGGCAGTGGTGCGTAAGTGTGGCATGCATGAAGCATGGGTGCGCCAAAGGCCCGCTGGGCCAAAGGACGAATGGGTGGTGACAGTACGGGGTGCGATTGGGATAGAGTGGGATGAAAAAGAGTGGAAAAGAGAAATAAATGAGCAAGTGAAAGACTATGGGCTGAAGGTATGGAAGCAAGGAATGGAGGGAAAGGACTCTCTAAGACTGTATCAGATGAAAGCGATGCCAAAATATGAATGTATGTATGATGGTAGTAGAGGTGGGGACCCTCTGTTTTGTGTTAGGGCAGGCGCGCTAGGTGTGAATGGACGTACATACAGGTGGAATGAAAGGAGAGAAGATAAATGTTTTATGTGTGATGGGGATGAGAAGGAAACTGTAGAGCACTTGTTGATGGAATGTGGGGCGTATGAGAGAGAGCGTCAGTCTATGATTGAAGTGATTCTGAATGAGAGAGGTGAGACTAACGAGGTGGGGCATGAGAGAACAAGCAAAGACTGGATGGCGATAATTACGGGTCTGTCTGAGGGAGCAACTGCGGCTATGTTTGAGAGTGTGAAGAGATATTTGGAAAACGTGTGGATGATGAGGGAGAGGAGGAGGATGTTGTAAGTGGGGTCTTGAGGAATGGAGGGTTTAGAGAGGGGAGGGTGGGAAGACGTGTGAACGTGCCGAATTGTTTTAGTACGTGGTTTTAATTTTTTGCGATTGTCAAATTTTTATATTTTTTCTTAGGACAGCTGTGAATATGGTATATTTGAACTTTTTTGTTAACATAGGAGTGTGAACTTTTAATTTTTTGATGCTAGTAAAAGTTTTTTAGGCAGCGTGTATGACCAATTTAAAGGTCGTGACCGTAGGTCACCACGCACCCCAATTCCAATTCCAATTCCAGCATTGCCAAAGATCTTGCAATATTCATCCACTCTCTTCACAGTGGTGCAGGAGCATATGTTCAGTCTTAAAGTGCCTAGCAAATTACGGACCAGGCAATAAGTCCAGCAGCTATCTCAATCAATCATCAGCTATGGAAAGATTGGGTTCCAAAGGCCAGATCTCTTGTGAATCTAGTCACAAAAAGTTCAAGAATCAGCAACAGGCCATGGGCCTATTTCTTCAACGCTGACACTTCTATTCTTTTCTATAATGGAATTAGCTACCTAGAAATAATTGGTTCCTATGCTAGGGCGCAGAAAGTGGGTGAATATTGCAAAATCTTTGGTGACGCATTATCATCAAAATTTACACTTTCAGAAGATCTTGCCAAAACATTTTTATTAAATTTTTAAAATTATTGCATTTTAGATATTTGCTAGTCTTTGGCCAACTGCTTATAAAATAGTTGAAAATCTGAAAGAGCCGGGATTAGAGCCCAAGTCAAGTGCACATGCCAATATGCCACACAGTAAGGTTTCTGACTTTCTGGATTGAGTGGTTAGGACACGAGAATAGGGGAATCCCCCTTCTAGAGACCATTGGAAATCTTAACCTTGGGGGCTGGTTTCTTTCTCAGTACCTGTCCCTTTGAGGTTCAAGAAAAAATTTATCCAGTGTCTGTTGCTTCTGCCTTTTTTTGTAACACATTTTGATAATATTACATCACAATATCAATAAATAAGTTTAGGGCTTATATAGCTTAACTTCTACTACACTACTATCATTCTTAGTTTTGGAATTTGGGGCATGACTAGATTCATTCAAATGAAGCATGAAATTACTAGATAAGGTGGATGTGAACAAATAAAGATTACAAACGTCCAATCAAAGCTGAATCTTATGCGAGAGTGATTGCCGTTATGTTGTCTTATAAGCTGTGTTACGTGCCAGGTCATGAAGCAAATTAGTTCTTCCCTAACTGAAATTTTGTTTCTTAGCAGAGATAAATTTTTATAGAAATTCTTTGTCAATAACTGATATTTTTTAGAGCAAAGCCTTTGCTAACCAATGTTCTACTGTATTATGTGGCAGTATAAAGTTATCAAATCCTGTCAATTGTAGTTTTGATCAGCATTATATGGTTTTTGTGACAATAAGTAAGGTTATTCCAGTTTTTGCATAATGACAACCTGTGTGCCATTGATGGTAGTCTAAAACTTATCAATCACTCTTAAGCACTCAGGTTGCTTAGCATTCAAAAGAAATTAATGGTATATTTTGTTATAAACTGAAATTTCCACTTTCTAGTGCAATCAAAAAAGCCTTTTGGTTATTATGCAGAAATGGAACACTGTAAATGGTATTTCTGATCAGTAGTGTTTAGTATTTATTGATGAGCAAGGATTTAAGTACAGAGGCTGGAGAGTGGCAACTTATGTGTCATTGATGGTAGAATAAACAGCCAAATCATGATACTTAGGTAGATTCTTTAAAATCTTTATTCTTCAAGTAACGTTAGTTTGAATATAATCTACTCCTCAAGCCAGTGAAGCCACAACTGAATTTTTAGAGTTTATTAAATTTGCAGCTATCTAAAGAAATTAGTTTGGTTTCATAGCCCCAAGTCAATTTTTGAAAGATAGGAAAATTTCTATTTACTGCGCCGTATCTTGACGCGCCGCGATCTTGCCGCTCCGCGATCTTGCCGCTCCGTGATCTTGCCGCTCCGCGATCTTGCCGCTCCGTGATCTTGCCGCTCCGCGATCTTGATGCGCCGCGATCTTGACGCGCCGCGATCTTGTGATCTTGCCGCTCCGCGATCTTGATGCGCCGCGATCTTGCCGCTCTGCGATCTTGACGCGCCGCGATCTTGCCGCTCCGCGATCTTGATGCGCCGTGATCTTGCCGCTCCGCGATCTTGACGCGCCGCGATCTTGACGCACCGCGGTCTTGCCGCTCCGCGATCTTGACGCGCCGCGATCTTGCCGCTCCGTGATCTTGCCGCTCCGTGATCTTGCCGCTCCGTGATCTTGCCGCTCCGTGATCTTGACGCGCCGCGATCTTGACGCGTCGCGATCTTGACGCGCCGCGATCTTGCCGCTCCGCGATCTTGACGCGCCGCGATCTTGCCGCTCCGCGATCTTGCCGCTCCGCGATCTTGCCGCTCCGCGATCTTGCCGCTCCGCGATCTTGATGCGCCGCGATCTTGCCGCTCCGCGATCTTGACGCGCCGCGATAGTCACATGATGCAATGTTTACACGCTGCAGTGTTGTTTCAGCTGAAATTCATGAAAATATAATGTTTTATCATTCCCAATTTAATTGTTTACATTTTGGAGCTCAGACTATGATGCTATGGTATACATTGTCTTCATTCACTATTGAAACATTACCTTTATATACCGACCAGAAAACCTTATCTCTCTTTTAATGATGTTATTAATGACTCTCTTAATTTCAGGTGACTCAGGACAAATTGTGTGAGCATTTCAAAACACAAGGGCTGATCACTGATTCAAAGCTTGCTTTTCGTGATGGAATTTTCCGAGGCTTTGCTTTCGTGGGCTTTGAGTCGCCTGAGCAGGCCAAGGCTGCTGTCAAGACCTTCAACAACACATACTTTCACAACAGCAAGATTGTTGTAGAGCTTGCCAAGGACTTAAGTAAGGAAATATCATGAAATTCTGAGCTTAGTTTCTTGTAAATATGTTTTCTATTATTACTGTTTCTATGATCACAGTTGAACAATGACAGACGTACAACTATTATGAAAGCCATTGAAGGTTTCTTTAATGTTTCAGTTTGTTACATTTTACAGCAATGCCACATCATCAATTCCAATTGTAGAGATTGTATGTTGATCATACATCATAATTTGATCAAGAAATATTAAGTTATATCATCTCTTTGCAACAGATGATGCGACACGCCCTAAGAGTCAGCAGCAGATCAAGCAAGAGAAGAAGGAGCAATTACTAAAGAAGCAACAGGAGCTTTGCCTGAAAAAGGAGAGGGCTCGTCTCAAGGCCTCTGGAGGAGATGCATCCATCAGAGCTCAAATATTGGATAAATACAAAAATGATCCTAAATTTATGAATTATCTTGAGCTCAACCTGGGATCAAATGTTTCCCTTCTGGAGAACAAATCCAGAGAAAAGAAAAATAAAAAGAATATTTTGTCTGTTGAAAAAGATCACAAAAATAATTCTGAAAATGAAGAAGAAATTGATGATGATTCAGACAAGCTGGCGAAAAAAAAGGAGCTGTCTGACCGGGAGGTGAGTGGCTGCTGGCCACCCTTGTTGTCCTGATTAGGTTATCTAAGCAGCATTAATGCATTATTACATGTATCCTGCTGTAATTTAAATTTAATAATAATATGAAATTAATTAAATGATAAGAATGTCTTAAGAATTAATGAAATGACTTTCTCATTTTCAGTATTGGATGGCTATGACTAAAGAAGTTGCTGAAGAAGAAGACAATAATGAAAAAAATAATGAAAATGATGTGGACAAGAAAACAGATGATGGAGTGAAGGCCCATAGCCCCAATAGATGTAAGGTATGTTCTTATAGCCATCAATATCCTTTATTGTGTTGAATTAAAATTATCATAGCATCAGTAACCTTTGTTATATTAATTAAAATTGTCATAGCATCAATAACCTTTGTTGTATTGAATTCAAATATCATTTAATGATTTGTTTGATTAGTAAAGTGTGATATGCTATGAAAATGACATGGAAAATGAATTTGTATTTAGTTTATGTCTACTTTGGTAGTGAATGAGTCCATGTCTAAAGTTGATGCTACTAAGTACCATATTATTGATGTGTGCAGAAATGGAAGGAGCTGTTTTCTGTTCGTCTTCGTATTGGCAAGTTCCCCAAGAAAGCACAGATGGGTCTCTCTAAGAAAAATAAAAGTTTATCAAAGTCAGATCTACGAAATTTTTTCAGTCCCATTAAAGTTTCTTCTATCAGAAAAAACTTGAAGGATCGCTTTGAATACTTCATTGGGTTTAGTTCTGCTCAGCTTATGAATCAAGCATTGAAAAAGAATGGCAGCATTTTATGTAAGTCATATATATAACATTGTGTACCAATGTATAAGAAGAATAATAATTTTTTACCATTATTAACCATATTTCAAAAAGTGAGTTGTGCATACGTATTGCATGTAAAAAATATCTTTAAAGTTTAGCATATTCTGTTTAAAGCAAATAATGAATTTTACATACTAGACAATGTTAATTAATTTACATGAATACTTCTGCATAGCTATAACTTTTCTCGATGATGCAGTGGGAGTACGTGTCAAAGTATCAGAAGCGAGCCCTCAGCAGCAGCAAGATGGAGATGAGAATGCAGTGCAGCGAAGGCAAGGCTCAGCGCCGTGGTCAGAAGCTGAGAAGCGGCTCCATGAAGCGGAGCCTGAGGCAGAGAGTGGCAGATTATTTGTCCGCAACTTGTCGTATCTTACCACAGAGAAAGATCTCCGTGACAAGTTCTCTCAGTTCGGTGTGTGGAGAACTTATCTTTATTTTTAGGAGAACTAATTTCGTTTATTTGAAGCCTTGTTTGCTCCATAATTGGTGATCGTTTCATGTGTTATTTAATGAGGTTTAGATTAAGGTGGAAGCAACACTATATTCACCGTAATCTTGACATTCTTGCCCGGACTTGAAGCAAAATAATTCACGAGTATTTTCCCTCGTTGACGCAATGTTCTTCTATGCATGTGTTATATTCATTAATAACCTAAAAACAAATACAAAGAAATGTGAAGTTTTTACAGAGTTCTTACTTTTAATAGGTCTAACTCTATAGAGAGCTCCTTGAGAAAGAGGAGTGAAAATCATATATTAGCCTCAAGTCTAAATTCTCAACTTAGCTGCTTGGCCTGAGAGTACTGAGAACCACGCCTCCGACACACTGTACTAACGAACCTGATAATGTGCAGGGGAAATTGTGGATCTGGAGCTGCCAGTGTGCACGCAGACACACAAGATCAAAGGATTCGCTACGATCACGTTCATGCAGCCGATGTCGGCGGTGATAGCGAGGGAGAAGATGGACGGAGCCGCCATGCTGGGACGCGTTCTACACGTGCTGCCCGGGCTATCGAAGGAGCAGGTGGACGAGATGAACCCCTTCAAGTCCAAGTTCAAGCAGCAGAAGGCTAAGGAGCTGAAAGCCACGGCGGGATCCTGGCACAACTGGAATACGCTGTTTATTTCCAGCGCTGACGTCGTTGAAATCATGGCCAAGAAATATAATAAGACAAAAGAACAGGTCAGAGCTGGCTTTAGATAGGCTTTTACTTATTAATTTGATAGTTTAATTATCATTTTCTCGAAAAACCTTTAATATTTTAATCAGTTCGATAATTTTGTCAGGAATAAAAGAATTCTTGAAAGGAAATAGGAATAATTGCGTCGTGTAAATTTACATTTTCTCGTGTTTTGTCTTTCATTTTTGAATTGTATCCTCTTCAAGTATATGTATAATTAGCTCACCAAAAAAATTTATTGACATATATGTTCTTGCCTCAGATTCTGGATAACGAAGGTCCTCAGAGTGCTGCTGTCACTGTAGCCCTCGGCGAAACTCAGATTGTGGACGAGACTCGAAGGTAACATCTTATTTCATGCAAAAACTTCATCCAGATTCTAATACTTTGTACATTAATTATTGCCAGCACATAACTATATATAATTTCGCAGGACCTTGAACTTCAAAATTATTCTTGTTCTGCTGGAAACCGAGACGCGTCGCGATCTTGATATATTGTTTTCAATAGAAGACAGTTGCGTTTATTCGCAACCAAAGCATTGTCTGTGATGATAAATATTTCCATCATCTCACTAAAACAAGCTAATACCGATATAGGTTCTTGGAAGACAACGGTGTGAGCGTGGATGCATTCTCTGACCCGTCTGTGGCTCGGTCGGACACAGTGCTGCTGGTGAAGCACCTGCCTGCTGGCACTAAAGCTACAGACATCGCCGAACTCTGCTCCAAGTTTGGTGAACTTGGTCGTGTGGTTATGCCACCTTCGGGCGTTACGTGTGAGTGTAAACATTTTGATCTATTTAATTCTCCCCTGTCGAAATCTGTACTAATATTGTGTCTAATATGTAAAGTTCATCAGATATTTATTTTTCATATTTTGAGCTAAACGGATGTTCTCTCGAGTACCAGAATGCAGTATTCAACAGAAATATCAAGGAGTAAGCTTTCATAGCGCTAATTTTTGCCTTTGAAAATAATCACATGAAGTAGCGTGTATGAATTATATCTTCTAAATTGTTTGGTATTGGCAGGCATTGTAGAGTTTTTGAGTGCTACCGAAGCCAAGAAAGCGCTGCGGGAATTGAGTTACAAAAGATTCGGAAACTCACTCCTGTACCTTGAACGAGCGCCCGTCAAGACCTTCAACACTGAGGCACCCAAATCCGGCGACTCTCGTCAACCTGACCCTGCGCAAGAGCCTCCTCCGTCTGGTGAATCTCTCAAGAGGAAAAGAGAACAATCGGACGACGGTAACTCTTGGGTCTCCTCCCATCATCAAGTTGGAATACTTTCATGTTCATGGGCATTTCTTCCTACTTTTGCCCAGTGTATTTTCGTAAGCGACGATTGTGTTGAAGTTAAAAATGTTATACAGTTTTTATAATAATACTTGTTCTAATGATTTCATTCGAAAATACTACCGTGCCTTGACGTTATATCATACCTTCACATTAGAAAGCGATGAGGAACCCTCGCTGGAAGCTGCTACAGTGAAGACTAAGAAGTCGGAAACACCAACGCTGGAGCCGGAGCCCCACACGACGCTCTACGTCCAGAACCTACCGCTGGACGCCACGGAGGAAGACATCAAAAAACACTTCAGCAGTACGGGAGAAGTGATGTCGGTGGTGGTTGCCCGCAAGGGTGACAAGTCGCTGGGCTACGGTTTTGTGCAATACTTGAAGCAGAGATCCGCCAGAGAAGCTCTCATTTCACTTGCCGGCTCCACGCTCAACGGTCGCGACCTCCTCTTAAAATTATCGGAAAAACGTCTCGCGTGAGTCTCGTAAATTGTTGACCAAACACCGCACGCAAAATCGTAAATTGGAAAGATGTTCGACTTACAATCTTCTATATTTTGCGTCGGGCAATATTTCTGTACATTAGCCCTTACAATAATGCCTGGTAATAATCATAATCACTTGTGTGTTCCAAAATCTGTATTGTTATATTTCACACACCAAAGTTTTATGAACCGCTTACAAACCGTCGTCTACGACAACGAAAACTAAGCATATTTTAATTTAAGCTTGAGGTATATCAAATTAGAATTTAGTTTTCAGTGATTTTTTCCTATTTTCAGCGCAACTGTAAAGAGTTCACGGCAGATGCAAGACTACGGCAAGCAGCTCTCGGCCAAGATCTCCGTCAAGAACATTCCTTTCCAGGCCACCAGAAAGGAGCTCGAGCAACTCTTCAGGTAAGCACAAGCTGTGCCGAGGCCGTGCTATTAGAACTCCCTAAAGTAAACTTAGCAGCAGATCACTTGTCTGTGATTGGTGCGTTTGATGTTAAAGGCCGTTAGTGATTGGCTGACGGAGTTACGATCTCGTAATTATTTTTGGTATTACGGCTTCTGCTAACTACTAGCCAGAATTGCCCAGTTCAGGCGGGTTGGAGTTTAACGATGACTTCGCTTAGATAAAAATGTGTTCTTCATTTTACATGATTAATATTTTGTGTTCTGAAGTTTTTATTTGTGATATAGACAAATTTTATGGCAATGTATTGATTTTATCTTGCTATTTTGCAGACCTTTTGGCGCATTGAAGCGCACGTTTTTGCAGAAACATCATTCGGGCGAATACAACAACGGTGGCTATGGCTTTGTTGAGTACCTCAACATGGAGGATGCGAAGGTAATGTATTTTTTATAATGAAGAAAAGTCGATCGTCTAATTATAAATGTACTTATTCCCTTCAACTATTTTCTCTGCGTCAGTATTCAATTCTTTATGGTACGACTGCATTATTGTATTTAGGTCATATGATTGGTTGGATGCAAATATGCTAAAAACGGAAAATTTCAAAATTCCCCACATTTTCAATAAAAACATTTTAAAGACCATTTTCATCATCAATAAAAAAATAATAAAATGTTCTTACAACGAAAGTTTGTTATTGTGTCATTAAATTCTGTAGCTGTCTCAGAAAACATTTTCATTTGAAAACTCGTGAATTGTTCTTTGCATTTTTTTACTTCAAATTTGAAGTTCATTGATGTTATTTGTCCGGAAGTTGTTTGTAGATATAAATCCTCATGTGTTTACCAGCAGACCTAGTTAGCTTTGAGTCCACTGTGTCACTGAGAGCCTGCCTCAGACGCCGAGTTGACTGCTTATACAGAATATGTGTTACGAGGACTCGCAGCTAATTACATAGGTCTGCTGATAAACACCCGAGGGTTTGTATCCACAAACTACTCCCGGACATATTGGTCAAAATGGTTGAACAGCAGCACAACAGCCAATATTTCTGCAAGTCTTCATTTACTTTGTTGAATTTTATAGCATAGAGTTTTAGTCCTGAAAATGAATGGCCTCTGGATCATAGTGAGGTTTTAACTAACTTCTATTCGAATATTTTTTTAAGCGCGCTTTGCAATCGCTGGGACTTTCTACTCATTTATTGGGCCGGCGCCTGGTTCTGCAATGGGCCAAGGAGGACGAGTCGGTCGAGGAGCTCAGGCAAAAGACGGCTCAGAAACACGACTTCGCCCAACACATCGGTGAGTCTATCAAACTTGTCAGAGATTACTCCAGAAAAATGACATGGAATAAGTTCGGCAGGACCTCAGAATCTTCACAATTTTTCTTTTGGCGACACTTTATTTATATATCATCATGGTTTATTCAGTGGATCTATATAGTATGAAAAACCATATATATACATCTATGTTTCAGGCTCGACCCATAAGAAGATGCGCGAAGCCATGCAGGAAGCCACGGGAAGGACCGAGTTCGATGAATAAAATATGCGAAAGGTATGCGTTTCATTCTTCTTTCTCCGTATGTTTTGGTATGGGAGAACAACTAATTAATATTAAATCATATATCGATGCAAGTAGTTATGAAGCCGATGCAGGAATCTGAACATCACTCCTGACAGCATTGTTCAGGAGTCGACGTAGAATATGGTAATGACAATAATACAAAGGTTATATGTCACAACACATTTTAATATTATTACAGTGCTTCTTTAAGTTCCAATTGGCATGTCGCACTATAAACTTGTTAATTCACCTTGTTTTAGAACAGGGTCTCCCAGCCATGGAGAAACGTGTACTCTACTAAGAACGTAAACTCCCATATCAAGGTTAACGCGAATGCTCATAGTTAGCGACAGATCATGTCTACAGTACAGATTGCGTTATGAAAACGTTGCAAGTATTCATGTTAAATGGAATTTATATGTCGAACTTTTTGCACTTAGACATGCAGAACGATCCTGGAGCAATTGCGGTCTGTGGACAGCAGGCTGTGTGAGTGATGGTTGGCAAAGGTTGCTGGGAGAAAGGGTTTACCACGCTACTATCTATTTCAAATTCGCATTAATATTGGAGCATATGCACTACTCAACATTACTTGTCATGCCATAGCAAATTACAATTAGGTTCTTTCTGGCGGACTGTGAAATACATTATCTAAGTCAGTATGCTCAAGAGCAATGAATTATGCGTATTTCAGTACTCATTTATTTGTGGCGACGGCTACTCTAAGCCTAGTTCCAGGAGTTAGATTCGTTCTTTGCAATCAGTTTTCATATCACTAAAAATACGTGACCTTCGTTGTATTCTCTTCAGCGTTGTCCTATTCTATGCATTATCATGCATTTCCTGATATAATGGCGAGCGGATAACGACATATATGGGATTGATATTAATGACCAATTGTAACCGTATTGCTACGACTAGCACAAGAGTCAGGGTTGATTACGATCAAGCTACCTAAACCATATTGGACTAGAGCTGCGACTGTGGCAACGTAGGGCGCAGGAGCCCTGCCAGCAGCGCATCACGAACAACAGCCAAACATCTACTTCTTATTGTTGAATGCGAGAAAAAACTAGCTAATGGGCACCACATACTCGATGAACTATTTTCAAAGTACAACACTGCACTCAAGACAAAGAGGCGTTAATCTACAGTTGCTGATACGCATGCTAATAACTTTCCTAAACAACCCGGTAACAATGAGTTTTTAATCTGGACTCGATCCCTGCTACCATTACAGTTACACCACCTTATCAGGCTTATAATTATTATTACTTTCTTTCTTAACAGCTCTCATGCTTTCTAAAAGTGGTTTTATACTACGCAATAATAGTGGAAGTTGTTAGGCGCCATCCGATGCGTTAAGGAAATGTTACAGAAATTCGGATGCCGATTGCAGTTCCATGAATATGACGGAGAGAAAATATAAATGCATGACATGACCACGATAACTACGTAGGAATCCATTGAAAATAAAAGCTCACGTGTTACATTTTTTCGTCCATTTTTGGAAGTCTACGAAGATTATCATGAATTAGGACAAAAAAATATATGTATATATATATGCAGCATGCAGACTAACAATGTATTCACTGAAAGACAAATAAAATTTATTTTCCCCAAATCTATAATAGAGACACTTACTTAACACCATCGTGTCATCGTGCAGTATTTTTTCACCGCAGTCAATGGCCCACTTCTACTTGAATTAGTTTCAATGAAAAGCAAGAGAAATGAGCGGTAGACACTCGGGACCAAGGAACAACCTAGCGTGAAGAGTTCAAAGTATAAAGAGTATTTATGCCGCGTTCATCACACAAGCGTAGTTGAGTTTGTATCACAAGACCGTTCGTACCACAGAGGGATTCGCTTCAGCTAAAAATCAATAACAATAAAATATCACAACCCACAAATATAATTAAGAGAATCAAAAACATCTATCGACACGAGCCAACAAATAACGATGTTAACACTAAACGCGTTTCTCTATCTAACTCTAACGATAGTTCTTATCATTATATTTGGTAACGCGTAGGAATGATAAACTGAATTGTAACCGAAAAACGCTGTCATGCATCTCCACCTTCAGCATATGCATCACAACGCGACGTCCCTGAACCTCTCGTTAGAACTTGGCGGGATTTCTCCTGGGACGACGTGTTGGTCTCCAATGTTACTCGTGACATGTGAAGACATTCCAAGACCGAATATTTCGACATTGAGCTACTGAAAAGCGAAGATTCCAATCTATGAGGATAAGTTCAAGAAAAACAGAGCTAAGTTCATTTTCGACAGCCACATGAATGAGATCATAGCGGTCTTCCTTATGGAAATAATTAGGGCCAACTAATTAAAAAAGTTAAAACTCAACGGCAAATTGTGAAAAATTGAAAGTGGTGACAATTTATCCTTGAATGGGAACAAACTTAATAATAAAAACGTAACCGGGCGTCTATTACCCTGCGAGTTCAACACTTTCTAGGCGATCACGCGTAAATTTCAGAATAGTTTGTAAATGAAAATATTCAACAAATAAATAAACACGCCGCAGTGTCAACTACGTCGATGCCTAAAACTAAGCTTTGGTACAGCAGAAAAATGCGAGAGAAACAATAAGTAGAAGAGAATGCAGCACGTTGAACTTAGCGTGAGGAGCGGTCGGCTGAATTACTAGCCCAGTAACAGTGATCACTAGACGCACGCTGCCTCACTAACAAGCTTCAATTACATCGACAGTCATGAAGTCGGAAACTTGTTCGCTTATCAAAAGTAAGTAAGCATTTGTTCCACTAATGTCATGGATGAAATACTTGTGACTATCTTTGACTAACCGGGTACTGAAATATACGTAGGCAGTGATCAAAACTTAAGAGCAAATCAGCCTGCATGAGCTTCAAAAATCAGCGTCGCTCAATAAGAATGCGATACTTATTGCGATACTCCAAATAATTCAGTCAGTTACCACATCCACGACTTGAGCATCATCATTGATGGCTAGCATAAAATTTCAACGGCATTAGCAAGCATAACTCGCGCTTCGTTAACGCTCAACAGGACATAGTATGGTAAAAACTGAGGCAAACAAACAGAACATTTGTGACGCTCTCTTTACACTTACCAATAATAATTACAAAACCACGAATAAAACATTGAGCAATCAAAACAAGCACAGATCCAACAAACAACTACGCACAAATGTAAAATCAAAATCAATCAATTAACGAGTAACACGAGGCGTTAAGACATATATTATTAAATTGATACATCGTATAACATTTTATCGAACAAAAAAATTTCGTTCATAATAATGGTTAAAAAACAAACAATAATAACAATCGCAAGGCATTCAATTCAAGTAATTGTTAAAAACCCATTGGATTAACTATAAATATTTAAATAATCAAATGTGATACATCATTCAAATTCGCACATTATCTCACGGAGCATTTCAATTCATGACATTAGGGCTGTAGCACCACATGCGAGGTCTTATTTCCTCGGAGGTACGGTGGGCAGGGCGCGGCCGGGCACCGTAGGCAGCGTACGGGGCGGCAGGGAGGGAACAGCTGACCTGGCGGGTAGGCTAGGCGGACCAGACCGACCTGCGCCCCCACGAACAGGTAACGGAGGAGGACCTCCAGCGGACACTGGTCCATTAGGACGAAGGATACAAGCACCGAGAGGAGGAGAGGTCTCAGTGCGAACTGGAACTGAAGGAGGAAGAGACGGAGGAGCTTCAGCTGGAGGAGGAAGAGACGGAGGGGCCTCAGCTGGAGGAGGGAGAAAAGGAGGGGCTTCAGCTGGAGGATGAGGAGACGGAGGAGCCTCAGCGGTGGGTGGAAAAGGTGATTGAGAGTTGAGATTTTCTACTGGAAGTGTTGGAGCCTGTTGGGGAGGAGGGATGGATGGCAGCTCATAAGCGGAGGGAAAAGATGGTGGAGTCGCGGCTACAGAGGGGTCTTGCTGGGCAGTGTTAGGATAATGGGGGAGAGGCACATCCCGGCGAGATAAGCTGGCGGAAGAAGCGATTCCACTATTCGACGACACTGAGCTACCGTCCAGAGGAGACCCTTCTGCAGAGGACACAGTCTCCACTGAATAGGAACTTCTTGGAGGAGATGGCAAAGGTGGAGAATTTCCAACAGGCTTCGAGGCAGCTCTCGAGATCACAGGAGAAGCGGAAGATGTCTCCTAAATAAACAAAACATAATATAGAAATCCAACGTTTGAATACAAATTTTCCAACAGCAGAAATTACTTTCGAGAATTTCATCCTAAGAATATTAATTGCCAAGCTAGGTAAACCAAACAAAATACCATAATCGAGTCCACGTTTATTAATGTGCTGCTTCATGGATAACTTCAGCTAAGTATCTAAATAATCTGACCTTAGGACCATGAGTGGGAGAAGAGTATTGAGGCCGAGGTGGCGGGGGACGCGACGGCATCGCTGGCCTAACAGGCGCGGGACGGACAGGGACGAACCGAGGTGAAGTTTGCTCATCGTCAGACGGAGGCTCGCTGCCGCTGCTGCTTTCCCTGCCTGGGTCAAATGAAGGCGAGGGGCACGGCGAAGGCATGGGAGACTGCGCGCTCTGACTGTACAGCTGGCCCAGTACATCTGCAAAGTTACTCATATTTTTATTGTGGTTTGGGCTGGACTATAGCGGTCACGTCGGAGGCCCAATATCAAAGGAGAACGGCTCAGGGAGAAATTCAAATGCAACTATTAGGACGTACAATTCATAAGTGTGCTAAAAATATTGCCTAAATGATAATAATTCGTATGAAACAAGAATTGAACTCGAAAAAAAGACTCTGAAATTCTTATCAATTTCATCAATCAATTTTATCCAGACTGCCTTATAAATTTCATTGAACTAAAATTAATATTTTGACAGCCACTTCGTCACGCGACAAAACAGTCGTCCGTTGCTTGACATTCTATAGTTCTTTTCCAAGAACTTGCTAACTAGGGATATAATTAATTAGTGCGCTCATCGGGTTTTTTAGCGCGTAAGATTTACTAAAAGTTAGAAGAACAACTATATTGTATGAATAGGATGGTTCATTATCTCGGGTAACGCCTGACCTCGGACGCTGCTGGGTGCAAGAAGAGACGTGGAGGAGGGAAGGTCAGGAGGCGTCGGGATGGTCTCCGTGCACAGCGGCGTTGTCGTGTCCATACAAAATCGCATCTCTTCCTCCAGCAGCTCCTGCCACCGCTCGGTCTTCAGCTTAATGCTGAACTCCAAACCGTCAACCTGGAGACGAGCTTAACTTTAACTAATAAGCGCTCCACAGGAGAACCTAATACACGCTTAGGCACACACAAGATGTAATAATTTTCTTCCGGACTTGATGCGCATGCATTGCTACACCACAGTAGTCAAGTTTTCATTCAGTTGAGAAAATTGTCTTGCCAATGAATCTCATAAGCAAACCCCTCTTAAAAATGCCACTCTATCACATCACCGGTAAAACTTGCATGAATATTGGTCTCAATTTATATCTAACACAAATAATGTATGAATCAGGAGCCTGTATAATCTCTCAAAGTTCACCTTAATGGGCGAGCTTGAGATGGCATCGAGCGCCTGCTTAGGAGAGTCGTAAGTGAAGAGGATGTTGTAGTTCTGGAAGCGAACTGTCACCAGAGTGCCCAGGGCGTCCATGGCTTCCTGCACAGCCTCCAACACCTTCTCGCTTAGCTCCTCCCCCATTTGCTTGCCAGATACGCACTGTGCAAGGTAATTTTATTTATCAATCAAATAATTTTAAATAAAAATACAAGATTACCAAAAAATACTGCAGACTTTTTACGAGATTTGCACTGACGAAGTGTAAATTTGTTTTAAATAATCCACAGAATACTTGGAGAAAACAAATTTACTCACGTAAGAATAATGGAATTGGGAAATTGTACAAATGAAGTACCAGCTCAAGAGTAAGCCTCTCACACTTAAACAATCACAAAAGATAAAAGAATTTTCCTCTATTTAGCGCCTGCGGTTACAGCATGAGAGACCAAGTTCAACAGCCAAGTTGTTGAGTGCATCTATAAAAGAGACACTGACTTGAACAAGCACAGTGCAGTCAGAGGGTCCCAGCGACGACACGACTTCCTTGTAGACGGCGTCCAGCTTGGCTTCGTCCACCTTCCGGCCCTCGCAACTGATGGCCGCCAACACAGGCCGATGGTCGCTCTGCTTCAATGCAGCACAGCTGTAGTGGTCTATGTTTCCTGCACAACATGGATTATTGAAATTGTTTAGAAAAGCATCCTATAAAACAGTAAAACTGGAGCGGAAGTGTTTGGGGTCATTTTCCAAGCGATTTTCCAACGCAAGTAGAATTATAATACACAGTTTATCTATGATTCTATTACTCTTTTAAATATACAATTTGCTGACAAACCTGTTCATTTAGACCTAACAAAATTTATGTATCGGATATATACACGTGTACGAGTGCCACGGGTTTTGCAGTAACACATATTCTTGCTCAAAATTATCCGAGCTACGCAGGCCCCAAAAAGATCTTGTAGCAATATCGCTGTTGGAAGCTTGTACTAATGTGTCTGATTAGCGATACTGAATAGAACTGTTGCAAATGAAATCTGGCGCTTCAAATATTTAAGGAGCAAGTTTGTCATCACAAGTTAGAAAAAAGTAAATGATCAACGCGAGATGATGCAGTGACGGCAAGAATCCGTTATTATTGATAGCTACACAATGGTGAAGCGTAAATGATTTTTAAGAATGGAAGTTGAAAAATATACACAACGAATTAAAATTTCTTGAAATTACACTTGTAGTACGCACCGTGAGACCAGGGGCAGTTTTCTTGCCACTTGTAGCGGCGGCGCCAGAACAGCACGCGGTCTGTCCATGCCGGCGATCGGGCTTTCTCGCTGGTGTCATAGTCGTCAGAGAAGAGGTCGTACTTGTAGGTCGGGGCAAATTTTATAGCTCCCTCTTTGAACCCTGGGAAACACTTGTTCTCTTTCTGGCTCAGCTGTTGAACAATCAAATCCTAGCAGTGAGTTTTTTTTGAGAAAAATAATTTTCTATCTTATTTTTACTTTAATTCAATTCACTTTACTGTTATTTATATTATAGTATTTCCTTATTTATTAGCGCTCTATTTCTCTGCTGAAAAATCATATTCCTTACAGATTTCCATTTGTCAATACAATAGAAGTAGTACCAAAAAATTAGATACAATTTAAAACACGAAAATAAGTTAAAATAATAGAAAAAAATGAAAAACTTAGTGGTAGAATACAACAGATTTGTGTGCGTGAAACAAAATGAATCGATGGAAGTGACAAAAAAATTCTGCCAAAACGAACACAAACACAGAAGATAAAAAGTAACACCGACGGTAAAAATACACAACTATGAATTTCGAGAGGAAATGACAAATTTCCCTCATTATTGAGAAGGCAAGGAAGTAAAGGTACTGACGAGGAGCTGGTCGTGCTCCAGCAGCAAGTCCCACTCGCTCTGTTTGACGAGCCGCACGATCTCCTCTCGTGGCAAGTTGATGCGGTAGTTGAAGTCGCCGCACCAGAAGACGTAATCGTGCGCCCACAGTGGCACTTTCTGCGTAAATATAGTTTAATTTAAAGTAAGCTTAATGATTTATCCTCATAATCGTCGTATACATTAAGCAGAAATTCATCATAATTACATGAAGCAAGCAGCAAAGTCACAAGCTAAATTGCACTGCGGCTTAAGTTTACTGACTGGAGGAAGACATGAACAAGAAGTACAATGCAGCAACAATTGTAGGTAAAACTTGCAGAGCTTAGTGGAGACTAAAACTGAATTGTCTTGATATATTAATGAAAGATTACGAATATAGAAACAATTTTAATCATACACAAAGTTTCAAGTTAAATTGTAAGTAGAATTCGGAAAGACTGGAAATACTCCATGCAGACGTGCAAAACGAAACAAATGAACCAAGAGATTGATTGCATTCTTCCTGCAGTGAAACATTAGACGTATCTTGTGTTCGTCTGCAAAGTGACTGACCAGATTGAAGATCATCTTGCGTGCGATGCTGTCGTAGTCTTGGTTCCGCTCGTTGACTTCCTTCTGACCCGCGGCAAAGTGAGAGCACACAAACGCTATCGAGGTGTTGTGCACCAGCAGTCTGATGCCCACGGCCCCTTTGTTGCCTGCAACAAATACTTACAATTTGAACTCCACTGCACTGTTGCGCAAAGACAAACTGAATTCTCCTGTATTACACACGACATATAATTTTTGCTGGAGCGTTCGCCGAACAATCCAAAAAGTTTTTAGGCTGAGAAGCATATGTAGTAACAATACTTGTACGCAGTACAGCAAATTCAAGCTAAATCATGTTAGTGCGAGATAGTGATGAATATTCTAACATTATTTTATAAAGAAACGGAGATTACGTAAGTTATGGTTCACTGCGCAGCCTTTTCAACGTCAATCTGCATAGTTCAGTAGAAATGCTCATATGCAAATAAGTTCTGCCTTTGAAAAACGTAATCATTCCGCTAGAAGAAAAATGCAGGATCCACGTGAAGTAATTAAAGAACTGTGCAATATAATCGATTATATCTATATATCTCGATGACAAAGCCCCTGCAAGTTAATTGGTTCAGAAGCAAACAGAAGAAAAATCACGGTTCACGAAAACAAAATTAAATATTATAAATAAATCAAATATCATTAAATATCCTAATACTGAGGCCGTAATTTCATTTCATTTGCAGTTACATAGAGAATTTAGAGCTATGATAAAGAGACGGTGGTGACCTGTGTTGCCCTGCATGCCGGTCTTGACGGTGTGCACGTTGACGTACTTGACGTGCGCCGCGTGCTTCTCGTTGACGAATACGAACAGCGCCACGCCCACCAGCTGAGCCCACGTCACCATCACGAAATTCTCGTCACGGGAGATCACCTATCGTTAATATAATTATTATTAGTACGATCAAATTAGCATAACCGGTATTAAATACCATTATTATATGAGAACAGAAACTGACGAAGGGAAAACTGAATAATTATTAAAAATTTTATGCTACATTGCTAGAAAAGAAGCAACATCCCATAGCAAACAAAGGCTCTCGAGGCAGTCCACTTCGGGGTACAAAACCTAGATCATATTCCTAACTAATAACCTCTTGCAAATATATCATATCGTAAAGCAGCTATTCTTTGCCTACTCACGACATGTTATAGTCCACGAAAACGAACATTTGCTAAAGTTTTTTCGTCACATCCACAAGGGCCAAGAACAGGAACGCATGAGAAGAATCCAGCTACAGAAAAAGGCATCTACCACAACAAAAGAAGCATCCAGACGCAGAAAACACCGATAATAACAACAAAGGAGCTTCTCTTACCACGAGCTTTGCAGCTCCACACTCACCTTCTCCAGCTCGTGCCCCCAGGAATTGGCATTCTCCGACCACTGAGTGTTGCTCATGATGTTAGAGGCGTTCAGGTCGACAATTTCTTCAAACCCAATGGCAAATAAATCTGGCGGCTTTTTGTTACTTTTCTCTTCTTCAGCTGATGTTTGAACCAAAACTTTACACGCGTTCAGAAGGAAAAACATAAAATTAATAAATTTAAAAAATGACTCAATGAAAATAGGCGGTAAAATAACAATGTCAAAAAATTTCTTGTGTGTATATTATTTAGAACGAAATATTTATATGCATTTAAAATCATTGACAGCAAATCAATCATGCAAGAATATTAAAAAAAAATAAAATAATAAATCAATTCCGGTGGCAGCATGAAAGATGGCGACAAGAAACGCGTGATAGCGATTATTTGAAAAACTAACCGAGCACTTACAAAAGAACCGTAAAATAATACAATTAAATACAGGGTAGACTGCAGTAGTGTCCTCCACAATCACGTAATGGATACAATAAATATTTCATTATTGACTAAAATTAATAGTTGTTGAGGATCCAATACATGCAAGTCTATCCACATAATTTAATTACAAATAAACAAATACACTATAACTGTAATCAGCAATCAAAATGAGGTGCGAGCAGACTGACAGTTGGCGCCGTTGTTGTTGCTGTAGTCGAGGAGCCAGTCGTCCAGAGATAGATGCTTGTAAGCCAAGCTGCGGAAATGTTTGCCTCCGTTGACGTTGTAGGTGCCCACGCACACCTTTAACGGGAGGGGCTCGCTGAACTCCGGGATGCGATCGGTGACGCTCTTCAGCACCGACAGAGGTGCTGTCAACATGGGAAATGTAACACATTACAACTTAAGCTTACAAATCAAACTCGCTGAATTACTATTTTGCTGCTAATACTTGCACGTCAGTGATGACCTTTCGGCAGTACGTTCATTTCACAGCAACTCAAATGTTTCAACATGAAACTATAATTGTTTCATGCTTCTATTTTGATTATTTATCAATTTAATTATATTTTATTTAAATAGAATTCATTCTTGTTTCTATAATTAATCTTTAAACACAAATTGCTGTTTTTTAAGGTTTCAACCAACAACAAAATACTAGGTGTGCACTAGTGCTAAGGCTAGTGACTCGTTGGTGCAGTAGTAGTAGTAGTAGTAGTAAGTATCTAGCGCTTCAGAAAATCTTGATCTAATTAGCGCCGAAGGTCGAACTGTCATTGCAGTAGCGAAACGACAAAATATGAGCGGCGCAACATTGTTAAGGCCCAAGAGAAGATGTGCTCACCGTACTGCAGGTGCTGCGGCAGGACGGTGCGGGCGAGCGCGGCCAGGTAGTTGTCCAGGAGGTTGCCGTGCAGCAGGAGGTCGATGGCCTCCTGCTTGCTGCTGTCCATCAAGTTGTTCTGTATTGTGCGCCCCACTGACCGCGCACCATCAATGATCTGCACCACAATGTAATAATTGTCTTAATTATATTGTTCACGTTTTATTGCTAAGGCTTTCCATTTATCAAGTGAAACGCGCAGCTCGAAATTTTCCAGCTAAAAAATTAGGTAAATAATCAGGATTACTTCCTTCATAAAAGAAAAAATAAAAGATACCAAGAAACAATCCAGTACACGCGAAGGCTCCGGCCGATAATATCAGTAGTTGTTTAAAACGAAGTCGTTAGTTTAGGATGTAGTGTAATATTTAAGAATATGAAAAATTAATTTAATCTAGTATAACGATTTCGTGGTAAATTATGTTCGGATTAAATGCCATGAGAACACATCAAAAAATAAAATACTTAAAAAAACTTAAAAAAAAACACGTTTTTCTTGTGGACTAAAAAGTAGAAAATAAATTATGGCTCGCCCCAAAAAACGTGTGTCGGGCAGATTTATGATTAAAGCGAAAAGCACACAACACACGAATTTTGGAAATTTGATGGTGAACGTACAGCCCGACCCACGTTTTTTGGGGCGAGCCATAATTTATTTTCTACTTTTTAGTCCACAAGAAAAACGTGTTTTTTTTAAAGTTTTTTTAAGTATTTTATTTTCTCCTTTTTAGTCCACAAGAAAAACGATTAAGACTTGAGTAAGTATGACTTGACGTACGTATCGATGATACGCAGCGTCAGTGCCTGCTCGTCTATAACGTGAGCGCCCGCACGTCATACTATATATATACTATATATACTTTACTCAATTAAACTAATTTCGGTCTTTAATTACTAGTTTTTATGATTGTATCTGAAATTGTTATGCGAAAATAGCCTGCATGCCGAATTTCAGATCTCTAGAGCAATCATAAGTGGGCTAATTTTCGTTGTCAATGTTAACAACAAACAAACAAACAAACAAACGCGAAGCTAAGCTAAGAAAAACGTGTTAATATAACTCAGTACTCACTGCAGTGAGTGACAGAGAGCGCATTTTCTCGTCGACGAAAACTTGAGGTCACGGACGGACGGACAGACAGACGGACATGGCGAGCACAATAGTGCATTTTTTCCATAAATGAGAAAATGCGATAAAAAGCAGCACTGTTCAAAGAGGTGAAAAATTTCAGCGGATTTCCATAGTAGTAAACATTTGTATACTGTAGCTTTCTGGTACACCTACATACCTACGTCTGGCTGATCCTGTTACAGTCTAAACCGAACTTTAACGCGGACAGTAATAATGAGATACCTTTGAACCTTGCAGTGCTCCAGTGCCAGCATATATCTGACTGATCTTGTTGCCGTTGTCTTTCCACATGTCTTCGAACTTGGAGCGCAGGCGATGCTTAATGACGCCGCTGGTGGCTGCCTCACCCAGCAAATCCAGCATTGCGTCTAGACGTTCCAGGCCCAGGAAGGTCTGGATGCGGTTGGTGCGGTCCAGGCAATCCAGGCAGTTGGTGCGCATCACGCCACGTTGCTCCTTTACAGACAAGTTCTTCTGATCTAACTAGGCATCGATCTTAACTTCTACAGAAGATTATCTCTTGTCAGCATAGAATAAGATGTGAAAAATTAAAATAAATATAAAAAACTTACAGCATCTCTTCAGAATTATACCAAATAGTTATGTAATATCAGGAAAACGAGTCCTCTGACAATGAGATTGAACCCTGAGAACTATTTAGTTCTAGAGCAGAAGCTGCGCAATCCTGACGCATGAAGCCAACCGCCATACCTGGACCACAACACCGCCTCTCAAGCAGAAGAGGCAAAAGGAGTCAATCTGCTGTTGGATTTGAGGCTGCAGTTTTCTAGACAAGTTGTCCGTGTTTCCTCCTCGGCATTCTTGGTGGAAGTCGAACACAATGTGTGGGCAGTCGCAGCTCCACGGGCACGTTTTATGCTGTAGCTGTATAACAACAATGTTATCATTATCTAAGACTCCGTTTTGTTTAAATTAATTGAATTTATTTCGCTATTAAGGGTGTTTGCCTTTTAAAATTTCATAAAAAATTGAATTTTAGACAAAACTAGAAAACAGTCACTGTCGAGTAGCGGTTGCAGATCGGGTGAAGAAGTAGTGAAGAAAAAACTCATGAGAAAATAATTGAAAGAGAGAAAAAGCAGTCACACCAATGAGTTCATTCCTAAAAACCAGCAGTAACAAGCCATATTAAAAATCTTGTCTCGATGACCACGGTCTGCAAGTCTAATACCCTGCTAAACCATCACTGTAGACTGTAGTAACTAAGCACAATAATTCATAAAAAAAATTTCCATAAACAGTTATAAAATCTCAACTAAGCAGAAACGAGGAGCAATTTCTGAGAATGAAAGCGGGACAAGTAACCTGGAAAAGATGAGACAAGGCAGCCTCGCCCTGACTCTTGCCCGTGACGCCCGTGCCGAGCACGTTGATGACGGCCAGACCTCCGTACTTGTGCCGCAGGAAGCGCATGTGCTCACTGAACGCCTTGCCGCTGATGGTGGGCTCTCTAGACATCTTCACCTTGTGGGACCCGACCTACGACAACACAAAGCAAATGTAATAAACACTTCCAAGTTAGGAAAGCTAAGTATTATGAAGTTTTATTTAACTCCACAGCACCACAATAAAGTTATTGAAGTTGATCGATGATACAAACACAAACCACTTCTCATTTTCTCTCGGTTAATTTTGAAATTGAGTGCATGATAAATAATACCTATATTCACTGGAGAGGTAGATGAGAGGTAGAAGCAGCATGTGCTTAGATTTTTAAACCCTAAAAAATTTGCACGAAATTTGTCGCTCTATGATGAAGTTTCTTTGGTGCAAATAAAAAGTAATATACCATAGCTCTGTTCCCAGCTGCATAAAAGCTTCAATTAACTGCATGCTTACATTTAGAAAACGTTTGAACAATCTCAGATCACAAATATTTATGGTCAATTAGTTATAGTACTAACAAAGTTACTCACATTGAGCCCAGGCTGCTCCCAGAAGAGCGGCACGGTGCCACGTGTCTGCACGTAGGATAAGATCACGTTGTCGAGCGTCTCCACGTGCACCAACTCTTCTGTTTCTACGAAGTTCGCCACGTGACCGTAGTCGTCCACGCCTCGCATCATGAACCTGGAGAGCACACGAAGCTTAGTACAAACAATCATTCTACTAATTATTTACTACAACATTGAGGAAACGGTAATACATAACTGAACCAACTGCAGTTCATGTTAATGAACCAAGCTAAAAATGAATACAAAAAGAGCATAAATTTACTTATGAACTCCTTAAAGGAACTTGTGGAAATTGAAAAGCCTCGTTAGAGTGAAGTATTGCAGCAGATCCATTTTGCTGTTCTTGTCCTCTTCAATAACTTTCCACTCATGTTCTCATTTTCCCCAGTGTAATAATCATGAATAAGGCAAAGTTATCCCTCTTTCAATCGATTAAATACGCGTCAGATGAACAATAAAGTAGGTAATTAAAATGTACCTCTCATTCATTAGTAAACATTGCATAACAATTAGATAATTTATCATTATTATTTTTATTTAACAGCAAACATACATGATTGATATTCCGCACCATTTTGTTGGGCATCTGGGAACACTTCCGTGTACCGCTTGCGATTTCAAAAATGCCCAAAGTTAGGAAGCTTAGATAAAGATTGGCAGAAAGCTTTCTGCAAAGCTTCTTACCAAACACTGTTAAAATGCCCCAAACACTTTTAAAAGAATTAGCTAGGTAGAAATTAAGATCTTACTGTGTGAATAGTTTCAAACCTTCATCGTACTGCAGCCTAAAACATATATTTTCCTGCATTAATTAAGCAATATTTTTTATATAAGATAAGATAAATAGAGGTCATAAGATAAATAAATGAGATTGTTGTTTACCTGGTGCCAGCTCTTTCACAGCTGAGGCGGGAGATGACGTAGAGTTTGGGTGCATGGTTCCCCATGTAAACTGAACTGAATTCCACACTCCCACATATCACCTTCAGCAGCCAGGCATCACAGTTGATGTCAAACCGCTTTGGGTGCAGGTAGAGCATGCGATTCCTGTCAGGGATGATATATTTTATATTTTCATTTTAAACAAATGAAAAAATACAGCCTTCCATTTGACACATCCTTTGAATTTACAATTTATTGCCAGTTTCTCCTTAATCAATACATTCATTTTCAGAAGGAGCAATTGCATAGGAAATCAAAAAAGGGTACAACGTCTAGGAATGCGAGACGAGTAGCAAAACCTATCAATATTGCTATTACAGTATGGTAGGTGACCAGTAGAACCTATTAATATTACTAGGTATTATAGTACGGGAGGTGACCAGCAGACCCTATTTATATTAGTTCAAATATTTGAGCTTACCAGAAGAACCTATTGTCACTGATGTCTGTCCTGGCCCGCCTCTGGGCGCACAGCGTCAGGTCAAGCGGCCGAGAATCACCGGCGACGCTCACACTGAAGTAGAAGCTTTCATTGCCCATCAGCTTCTTTATTTCCTTAACCCAGTTATCTTCATCCTGCAGGCAAATGGAAAATTGTCAAGATTTCAATGATAAGAAACTAAACCTTGTTCCTTGACAGTGAAGTTACACATTAGACTACTTTCTGTCCGAATTTGGCCCTACTGAACAATAAATTAATTATAATCTAAATTATTCCAGTTAATTTGAGGTCATCCAATGACAAAAAATTCAGATGTACAAATTTTTATAATATACATGTATCTTTTATCATATAAATAATATATGCTAAAAGAAAGTTAGCCTGATGGAGCCCAGGCTAAAAATTCCTGCAATTTTTAATTCCTATTGTCCATAATGTCAATAATAATAATAAAGCTATATATTTCAATTTTTAAAATATGTCCAAACCCACATTTACATGGCATGTAAAACATTTGACTCCCCTTCCAATTATCTTGAGTGGATATTACCTGGTAACAAAATTACATTCTTCAATCGTTTAAATCATGAAATATATAAAAACTGTGAAATTGGAATTGAATCAAAAATAAAATGTATTTTGGTACTAGAAAATTCTACAAAAAATAAAAAGATTCAATTTTTTATCATAAAAATTGCAGTCTAAAAGATGTTTTATGCTAAATGTGGGTTAGAACAGTTTTTTTAATTGGCATTGTTCAAAGATTATTGACAAATTACATACACAGGATTCTCAAATTTCAGGGATCATCTATTCCCAACAATGCCAAGTTAAGCTGCTAGTTTGCGTATAGTTGTTAAAAAAATTATCACATCATCAGACAGTTTGTCCACACTGAAAACTTTCTGATGTAAGTAGAGTCCTAGAGCAATGTTGGGCAAAGCAGAGCAATTCATGCAATTTTTCTAGTCTGAATCTCCCACATTCTTGTGCTACATCAGTAGTTGAAAAGCATCATTATGTTCAATGTGCTCTTCTTAATACTCAAGGGAAAGAAATATGTTTTTATTTATTGAGGAAACAGCAAGAGACCTGAGACTTGTAGCCTGGTAGGCGAGGCTGCTGCAAGGAGATTACATCAACTTCTTGTATTTTGTAGATGCTGGAGTTGAGTAGAACACAGACCTTCACACAGCGGGTCACCACAATCAAGTAATACTCTGTATTCTCACCTGCACAGAAATACCTCAAACACATGACAACTAGAAATTATATTAAACAATATTATTTCTTGCCCAACAAAATCTTCATTAAACAAAAATAACAAGATGGAGAAAAATTCAATAACAAGCTTAGTTTCTGCTTTCTAGTGTATTGTAAACAAGAAAGTGGTGAATATAAATACAAAATCTATTCACTCCACTTACCAGTCCAAGAAATCTCTGTCAAGGGTAGCATGTGAGGACAGATAACAAATAGAATGATTATATATATCATTATTAAAATTTGCTTCAATTAAGTAAGGAACTGTGGTAAATGAAAACCATTCACATCAAGATTTTCTTGCAATGTATCAAATAATGACATGGGAGGAAACTTTTTGAATGGACACAAAGTGAAAACAATCAAAGATTTTCTAAATGCAAACCTTACTGAAGAAATGAAAAATTTCACTTTACTTCATTCTCTTAACCAGGCTCCTAACCACTCCTTCTGCCTTAGGTTTCACTCAACTACAAATATTTCTGCTTGGCAACATCGAAAATTATCATTTCCATTATAAATATAATGCTTTGATTAACATTCCATTAGGTTCAACTTTATTTAGATTCAAATGGAAAACTTTCAAGGCAAAATTCTATCTTTGAAATAAGAGAAGTATCATTCATTGCCTGCTTATTGATTAGAACTGAGACTTGAAGGCAACTACTGACTTGGGCACCTCTGAAGAACACCCAAACAGCCATAGGAGTCAGCGAGGCGAGAGAAGTGATCGCTGCGGATGGCATCTGTTTCAGCCTGACCTGTGCAGCAGGAAATATAATGAAGATAAGAATAAAATCAATAAAAATTTTAAATCTATAATTGTTTAAAGGCTTGTATCCTTATCATCTTCACAAAATACTAACCAGCACATTGGGTATAAAGGGGAAAAATACTTATTTTTTCATATAAACACAAAAAACTGAACAATTCAAATCTTACCAAGCTCAGCAACAGTTCCAGCTTGGAATAGTAAACTTGTTTTGAGTCGCTTATTCTCCAAAAGTACTGAGAACTCGGTACTTTCATCCAATTTTTGATAAATGCGCAGGCTGAGAGAAGCCATTTTGAAGGTCAGACTAATATGGCATCATTTGGAGTATCTTAGTTAGTTCCTGTAATAAAATTAGCACTCATATATAATTTCATATTAGCATAAAAGTGTAACTCAATGCTGGCAGTGGCATTGCAAAATAATTTTTTTATTACTCTGAAAATAAATTAAAAAATATCTAATGAGTGATCTAAGTGAATGTTCCATAGATGCCATGTTTTGGAGGCATGTTATGCAGATAAAATTGTTTTGAAAATAGGCAAGCATCAAGATAATTCAATTAATAAGCAAGCTATGAAGTTGCCACTAGGCCCAACACTCCTGTTGCTGGCTTTTCCTAGAAGCAATCTATTTGTTAAACAAAACTGAACTGCAACTTTCTAGCAGGATCAAAATAGCTTTGTAGATTCTATATGCTAATCATGCTATAAATTGTAGTTTTGACCACTATACAAATACAGTAATGACAAGACTTTTTTACACTCTTCATTTGCTGAGTCCTATGAGGAGACCTGTAATGGCAGTAAAGTGTCATGGATACTGCATTATCATACACATTATTGACTAAAATTTTTATCTATATTATGAAAAGAAATGGAAACAGGTTTCAAAAAAATCTCATTTGTCACTATAAATTTAGGTTGGGTATATACCATCAAAGTGAGGAAAATCAAAGTGCACATTCAGGCATATAGTCAGAGCAAGAGCAAGACAAAGCTCAAGCTTCTGAGAGTGGGATTTTGGGACTTCAGTGTAAAATCCGTGCTTCACATGTTTTGGAGAAATGGGTAGTTTTCAGATGGCCTTAAAATGGCCAGCAGTTGGCTAAAGCTAATTAGCTCAGGCCAACTATTTGCAGTCTTGCCAGCCATCAATTTTCACTACCCATCAACAAGTTCCATTTCAGTTTCAATACAAGTCAAAAGAACATTAAAGAACCTCATATAGGCAAAGCAGAGAGTTTTTTAGACTCTCCCTCTAGTTCACTTCTTAGTCCTATAAGTAGACCAGTAAGGTATACCATGAATACCAGCATTATCATACTTAAGAAATTTGCTTAAATCTTGAGGAGATAAGGAAATTAGAAATGAACTGATTCTAAAAAATCTCTGGTTTGTTACAATGCCTCATGCAGTGTCAGTGACAGCAGACAACCCAACTACTAAATTAGTAGAACAATGAGCAGAAGCTACCTGAGTAACCTGACAGGCTGACACCTGTGATGCTGAGAATATATAAAATGCCATTTACTGTAGCTGCATGGCACCTGGTGAATTTTACCTGATCCAATCACCAATGGATTATGTATGGCCCTTACCTCATTTCTTAAAAAAATAGAATTCCTAATTTTGGCCTGTAATTAAAAAAAATATTTAATTATCATTTGATTCATTTCTACTAACAATTTATTAAAAATTCTAAAGCCAAATGACATTCCAAGAAAGTGTTATAAATCACACTTTTCACAGACCAGACAAATCTTGCAAGATCTTGCTAAATCTTGCGAAATCTTGCTAAATCTTAGACATCAAGTTTCTCTACCTTCATTTATCATATGGATTGGAATTATGGTTCATCATTTAATAATTATTTTCATTACTGCTTTACTACTAAGTTTATGGTTTATATATACATACATATTTTTCTTACAGTCAAGTCCACATCAGTTAGGATAGGTATATTGGGCAAAAGTTTCCTAAAATTGCTGGTAAAAACAATTGTTCACAGGTAATTTTAAAAAATTGATGGTAAAAATGGGTCATTTTACTTATTTTTTACTGAAAAAATGGTAGAATGTTTTTTATGGTGCTGGCTGGCCGCCCCCGGCTCGGCTGGCACCCTACAAGTACAAAACATGTCATTATTGTCATAGGGTAAACGCGGTATATTCTGACACATTAAGGACGCATCAAGAAATGAAAAACTAATGAAATGAAACTATAACCCTATGCGTTACTCAAGTTCTGTTTGCTTTACATGACTCGCAAAACACTGTACTACGCGCCAGCAATGATGAAACGTCACAAAATGTTGCCATATTTATTTAAAAGCCTTTAGAATGCAAACCTACCAAATCGGCAAATCCCTATATTCCAACACTGTGTGTGGCTATATTTGGCACGTGGTTAGAGGTATTCTGACCGCGCTTCAAATTGTACTAATACGTAATTCCTACATCCACGTGTTCGAATTCCGATCGCTGTGTGAGCTGTATTGGAATATGACACGGCTTTGAATTAGAACACTATTGAATATTGAGCACTACTTATTTAGGCTTTTAATTAACAGTTTTTAAGCTTTTAATTAAGAAAATTTTAATTTTTACACACAGCTTGGAATGAGCTGTGTGTGTCCAATTCAAGTTGTGTTGGAATTAGTTTTTATGTGTCTAAATCCATTTCTCAACTTAATCATCTATTAATTTATTTACCACTTGAAATAAGCAAATACAAGTATACTTAAAGGATTCCTAATATATTCACAGACGTATTTAAAAGTCTCAAACCATAATATTCTTTCTACACAAACAGTTTATCACTATTTGGTAGAGCAAGGTCAACTGTCAACTTTGACACATTTTTCGATGATCTCATTCTCATTGGGTGGCATGCACCGTCTCTCTTTGGATCTCAACATTTTCCTGCTAGATGGCCCAGACCTAGTGTTTTGGCAGTAGTTTGACACTTTGACGCGCAAATGTATGACATCACTATTTCAACCATCAACAAACGCATGGAACTAAAACAAAGCTTAATATAATGGAAAAACTAGAGAGGTGTCAGAATTACCCACGATGTCGGAATATACCGCGTTTACCCTAAATCATAATCATAAGGCTACTATTAGTATTAGAGCTCTAGTGGTCTAGCCTCTAGCCTACTTAGGGCTTATGATTTACAATGCCATTGCCCATTGGCATTTGGCAGTTGGCACCATGGCATGGTAAGCCTTTAGGGCTTACTGGCTTAGGTCTTAGGAATTTAGGATTATGGATAAAATTAAAAAATAAAATCGCTGGTTGCGGAAGTAAACTCCAGTTATCCTAGTTACAGTAAGGCTCAAATAAAATTCTTGACCAATCTGTCATAAGTCCTATCATTAATCTCAATCTTCCAATACGATGCGGCTTCACGACACTGACGACAGGATGTTACGAAATTACGAATGTGCGATATACATAATAACATTATTAACATAGATGCCACAGATACAGAATTTCGCTTTTCAATTGACATTTGATGCTTTGTGGGAACCGCGAGCCGCGAGCGACGAGCCCGAATAGGCTACTTCTCCAATGTCTCCTCTCAGCCGCCCTAAGCGGAATGGGGAGGCGATGTCGTCACAAACGAGCTGCAGCTGCAGGCAGATAGGTCAATGTAAAATGCCTGAAAGGTACAGTGGAAAACACTGTTTTCAGCTCGGTCGGCTGCACTCCCCTTTTTTTCCTAGGGCGCTCGCTGTCGGGACCACAGGATGCTGTTAACTGCATTGTGACGCGGAAGAGGTTACGTAAGGGTAAATGCATGATTGGACTAGTGAATCATGGGTAAATGCATGTGACATAAATTCTTGAATTATGATCAATATGATTGGTGTTGCATTGAGAGACGATGATTCAAGCTTCTGTTTATGTCTTTTTGGAATCCTTACATAGGAAAAAAACTCTGATATGTAATTATGAATAATTTTTACATTTTTATGATGCCTTTCTTCCAAAAATTTGACTTAAAATAACAAATAAGAGACTTATGAGTCGTAAAAGCGTTTTGAATTTCTTGAACTGCTTCAAAATTCTATTCAATATTCATATGTTTGACAATGCTGGTATCCATGATACTTTAACCATAGGTCTACGCATAGCAGGGTTGAACTATTAGTTCAACCATGTACGCAAACGACTTGACCATTACGTACGCATTAGTTCAACCATGTACGCAAAAGACAAAAAAAAAAAAAAAAAAAAAACAGGAGATTGAACAAAAAAAGCTCGTTTGCCATTATGCTCGCCGGCGGGCGAGATGGGCTCTCTCTCGGCTTTCATATCAATGCGTTATTCTGTGACCTGTATACCTATAAAAAGTGGTTATTTTATATCAGATAGCAATGTCCAATACAAATTGTAGTGGGTTATTTGTTTGCTAAAATTCTTTACATCATTTACCTATAATAATTATTCAAAACGCCATTCACTCCTGAAAATATTGGTAATCTCTGGACTAATATGCGTAGCTGATTTACGATGAATTAATAACACTAAAGAGAGACTTGCGCAAAGGTAGCAGTCGAGGACACGCAAGACATCGAGCAATTGAAGACGGTGTATGACATGACCCCACGAATTGACAGAGTGTGAGGGCGCGTTGCGTGGCCGCGTGCCTCTCGACGGCATAGCACGGGTGTTGTGAACGAGGCGTTCTTTGGAAGGGGCAAGGGCATACGTGCAACCGAATTTCGGGCCAGCGAGGTTCTTAGGAGGTACCCGCAACGCGGGTACCTCCCTGTACCCGCGCAGCCCCGCAGACGTCGGTAACGACAGTGGGTCTGTGGTTTCAAAAAGTTGCGAACGCGGGAAACTTCCATTCAACCACATAGCATCAACATTACGGCAGTGAAATAACATAGGTAGCGATATTGAATTCTACAATTCTAGCTTTTTCTATTCAACCTCGTTTATTCTACTGCCATGCCGATTCTCATATTTTTATTCGCCTAATGAACTTAAAATACCACATTAAGCGGATACTAGAAGCAAGAAAATTATTTACTATGGCAGATCTGAGTCTTAATGATTTAATTCCTTCGGAGACTTAAGCGTGGAATATTCAGCACGTGCTTTTCGCCGACATGAAGATACTGGTCTGGATCAGATAAAATTTGGTAAATAAATTTGTAAAAATGGGAACAAACGAATTTAGAGTGTTCTATTCATTTCTGATGATTTGCAACCTTCAATTTTATATGGTCCAGGTCCGACGAATTGGTCCAGGTCCGACGAATTGGTCCGGGTCTTAGTCAATACCCAAGCAAGGGGAGTGACAAATTTTTCGCATATTGTCAAATAGTTGAAACATCTGCGAAGAGCACTGAGCAGAGTTACACGCTTCGAAACGACTGTTGAACAATTCAAGTAGAGAATTGGGACAGTCGTATCCATTCTCGCTGCCACATGATACTTGTAGTTATCAGTAGAATATTATAGCGGGGTCAGCGTTGGTTAGGCCGCTAAACGCGTCGCCGATATTTAACATAGCTGAATATGTAAAGGTTGTTGCGGTCTAAAACCCATAACTCACTGCCTCAATCTTGGTACTGTGAATTGTAACCATTAATACTAGAGCTTCTTTCTTTACAACGCATAAATGATCATTCACGAACCTATTTTTCTTCTTCTATGCACACTTAAAATAAAAACAATTCAACGATCGTGGCTTCGAAAAGAACCAAGGTCAGAAAAACTAATGTTTTTTATACTAAAACCAGTACTCAATAGAGATGCTTTATTAATTCCACTTCGTACACTACAGTTCTTTTTTATCAATTCAAAATGATTTGGAATGAGATCAAAGGACATGAGATAAACACATATAAGAATGATCGATGGTAAAATTAGAAACAAATACATATGGTAATTCTTTTTTTGCGCAGATCAGACACAAGCAAATATTTCACGTCGGAAATATAAATGATCCTAAAATAAAATTGTGTCTAAAACAAATTTCAATTGACTTTAATTAATTCGGGTTTCCGTCTTTAATCACTAGACACAAAGTCCATATAATGGTAGCCGCGAAGTTAATACTCAGGCAGGCATCAAAGCTCCCACCACATCAATATTTAACACTCATCAAACGCACCACTTCGTCAGCGACATCCATTACGCATACCATTTTCTGTTGATGCCAAATGCCTGAGCGAGAACATCCATATTTGATGGTGGCTTTGTCAGAATCCTTGACGAGGATTACCAAGAAAGGGCATGGTAATTCGCTTAGATCATCTTGAGATTTGAAATGAGCGAAGTCGCAAACGATATTGTGCTTCCTCAAAGCTTTGAATATGGAAACGCGCTCTTCAATCTTAGCATGATTTTCTTCTCCATCGCCTACATAGGCAACACAAACGGTCATGTCGCCGCGTCCGCACCCGAGTTCGGAGGTGAACGACCAGTCTGGAAGTGGTGCGTGCGTGTCTTGTAAATCATCTCTGAAAACTGCGGCCACAAGGCACTCCAGGGAGAAGCTGATGCCGACTGCAGCTACGGGAACATCGTTGACTTGGCTAGGAGGGAAATATTCCTTTGATTTTGCGATAAGTTGATCAAACATGCCTCCTTTAGCAACAACGTAGCTCTTTTTCGAATGTTTTTTCGAAGAACGCAGCTTGGACATCACGAATCGGCACATGAAGTCATTGTATAAGCTTCTGTTGGAAAAACGCAATGGCTGCAATCGAGTAGTTAATTCGACACCTAAAGCTGTGGCTTTATGCATCGTTCGCTGGAAAATTTTCGCTTGAGATACGACTTCTTTGGATGAGCTATAAGATGACTTTGAGATGATTTTTTCTAAAATCTGCTCCACATTTCCATCCATTGCAAGATAAGGCTTCAAGGCTCGGTATGATTTTTCACTGACACCCAAGGCAGAGAGCTGAAGGCAGATTTCTGGTATGGAGCACTCGCTCTGTAAGGAGTCAGTTATGGTAGCAATGACATCGCTCCGAATCTCTTTGTTCACACCACACGAGTTGAGAATGGAATAAACAAGCGGGAGATACGCCACTTCAAGCGTAACGTCGCTGGTGCTCACATGACGAGTTACGTCCGTCAAGACTTTGATAAGATCGTGCCCCAGTTTCAGAACACGCACAAATAACTCATCTTGTTCTTCAATGGCCCCTAAGTAGTCAAAAGCACACTCAAATTTGCCGACGGGAAAATCTGATTTTAGGTTTTTTGACGGCAGATAGAAGCGATCAATGCTGTAACGACGGAGCTTGCACCATTTTTGGACAACTGCAAGACGTGCAAACGATAATCTCAACTCTGGAGCGCATGTCATTACACTTCCTCGCTCACTCATAACTTTGAATGCCTTCTGACCAGCTCTGCTCTCAGCGTTGTCAGGCGGGATGAAGAGAGGTACAGGTATCCATATTCCGCCATACGAGCGAAACACAGATTCAATTCCTTGGATGACATAGTCAACCTTTTGAGGAGAATTCATGGCAACTGGTGCCTTATTGAGGTGAAAAAAATCCAGTTCCATGCAAACGTTTTCCTTGGGTTTAAAGAAAGCTTGCAAAATATCTTCGTGCACATCATAATCGCCGTTTTGGAGGCTCTTCTGAAGTTGTTCCCTGAAATGCTGTTCTTCAATTGTGAGAGGCGGCAGTAGCTCCGATTTGAGCAATTCGGACGTGCTTGGTCGTTTAGTGGGATCATGGTTGAGGAGATTGAGCAGTATTTGCCTCTTGGATACGTACCTATGCTCTTCGAACTCAGGTGGGAGTAAAACTTCTGGCTTCCTCACTTTTATCATCAGCTCATGTCGCTCAGAGCCAGATTTTGGCAAAACGTAGGTCATTTCGAAGAAAATAATGCCCAAGCTGTAGAGGTCAAACTTGGAACTATATCGTGCTTTGGAAGAGGAAGAAGAAAATTCCGGAGCAATGTAATAGAAAGTTCCAACGTTACAAGACTGCTCGGCTGAATCAGAGATTGCCTGATTCTGAGCAGTTAATTCATCAGCTCCTCGGTCTCCGGTGAGTTGGTTTTTAATGACAGTCGCGAGGCCGAAATCTCCAATCTTAACACGATCTGTACCATCAATGAAGATGTTGCCAGGCTTCAGGTCGCGATGTATCACATTCTTGGAATGCATGTAGTCCAGCCCACTGATAATGCCACGGAACATACGCCACAGACGAGAGTCTTTAGTGTACAAATTGTCGTCGATGGCGTGCCTAGAGATAAAATAAAGTAAAATACCACAAAAACGTTAGGATTAAACTTCTATAATGTGGTAAAATAATAACAAAATTTGGTCATTGGTAGGCTGTATTTATTAAATACAGTGCTCCAATTGAGGGTGTTTCTGATTAACAAAACAAATGATTTTGTAAAATATTCACAATAAGTGTAGACTATCTTGAATAAACAATCGATGTCGTCAAAAAAGTAGGAATAGAGCAAGTAATTGCAAGACAATAAAGAAGATGAGCAGCACACTGACTTGAGGGTGTTGTTGGCGCAGTACTCCATCTGGATGAAGAGGTAGAGGCGCTTGGTGGGGGCCGGGGCAGCTCTGGACGAAGCGCGCTCTCTCCTGGACAGCTCTGGTGATCCCTCAGACGCGGGTCCGTCACGCTCGGTGTTCTCGAAAACAATGAAGTCAGACTCGTCACAATCCGGGACTTTTTGGCCATAACTGCTGATGGAATCGTCATCCTCATCGTCGTCGTCATCATCATCATCATCATCATCGCCGTAGTCGAACCTGAGTTCCGCTGCAATAAAAAAAATATTTACAATATTTATACGCGATGTGTTTTTGGTAAAGCGGCAGAGTGAAAATTACAGCTTTGCAGTTACACGGCATGTTTGAAGAGTAATAGGCAGCCAAAGTGCAAACTCACGGACGATTTCTCTCGAGTGAGTCTTATTCTCGGTTTTGCTCTCAAGCTCTGATGCAGTCTCGTCATCGTCAGAGTTTGAGTCGGTGGGATCTCGTGGCAGAGTGACGACGTCTTCGATCCACGACGTGTAGTAGCGGACGACGTGGTCGTGGTTCAGGGATGACAGGCACTGAACCTCGCGCAGGATGCGCTGTACTTCGTCGCCATCAGGACCTCGGCGGTTCAAGCTCACTTGCTTAAGCGCATACAAGTTCTTGTCCACAAGATTGCGTACCTGATTACAAGCTCCATCAAAATATTGTAATCATAACAATGTAGTCAGAGAAATACGAAATTTAGAGCCCATTCAAAAGAAGCCTATTTATAAAAGTTTAGTGGCAAATTTAAACCCAGCGCTGTGCAAAGCTCTCATTTTTATCACAGCGCTATCGGGAAAGATGGTAGGTTTTAATTGAATCTAGCATACATTGGTATCTCTGTCCAAAGATTTTAACACTTTAGCACTTGAATAAAAAACTATTTGACAGCCTAACTTCCGCTGAATTTCGCGAGCAGTTACTAGGCTAGTTACAAACAATACTTCAAGTGTCATTTGACAAATTACTGTGCGAGTTGCATGAAGAATTACCGTTACGTTCTTCATAGTTTTGAATTAATTATCCTTATAGTAAACATATTTTTTTATTTCAGTTTCCAGTTCAGCGAGACTGATTTTTCTGTATTAAATAGTGATATGTATTAAAACAATAAATAATACAATAAATTTGTCTTATTTGAGCAATAAATAATACAATGCCCCAAAGCTTGTCCCCATGAATAGGAACTTAGGCAGAGATATGACACGTATACATCAGGGGCCATACTTTCAAAACTCGCTAAGTGAACGTTAGTACTTACGCTCCATTTTCTTGACTATGATTGGTGGATTTTGCTCGAAAGGCCGTCAATGATTGGCTGACGAACTTACGATCTCGTAACTTTTTTGAAAGTATGGCCCCAGAACTGCAAACCTTATGCACGCGTCCGAAGCCACCTCTGCCGATGAGGCCCAGGGTCTCGTAGTCCTTTGCGAAGCGTGAGTCGCACGGAGGAGGCTCTTCTGAAATGCTCTTGTTGCGTTCCTCTCCGCACTGCAAACCAGTGATTCATTATTCATTTTGCAGTAGTCTCAAAAAAGTTGAGTCTTTTTATTTAATAATGTTATTCCAATGAGGAGACGTTATTACTTATTCCGGGTATGAACGATAAAGGAGATGCTTTACAGGCTGGTATTAGCAATAAGATGCCTCTTAATTGGGATATTGTGATTACATTATGATGAGATTATGAAATCACAATATTTTTTATGTATGCCGGGTCAGAATTTGTGTTCTTAGATGTACTTTTCCCACCAGAAGTACCTAATTGATTGATTACTTCGTAACAAAGACTCGACCCTAAGGAAAACTGGCACAAGTACTTATCTTTGGTCTGTTTAAAGCGCAAGTTTAACATGAATTTACAAGCAAAGGAAACGCCGAGCAAGCTCACCATATCGTCAATGATAACGTATCAGATACCAGCTCCATCATCACTTTAAAAAATAATATAATACATGACAATCGGTATTGCAAATTAAAATGCACGAAACATATTACAACCCGAGTTAACGAGAAATCTAAAAATAATCTAAATCTAAAAATCTTTGCATCTCAATATTCGTGGAGAGCAGCTCTTCATATACTATACCATAAGATGTCATTTGGACTAGAATATTGGGCTTCTTAACTGTAGCACATTATATTGTATCATTTAAATGAGAGCAAAATAGGACGAGCTTGCTTTTTGCACCTAAAATTACATATATGGATAGCTGCAAATTCAATCGATGTAAAAAACTTACATATGTATATATTACATATTCAATTTCTTGCTTATTCAACTTGAATATTACCCGAATGCCGAGCTCGGCGTCGTTCTTCTTCTTATCCTTGGCAGTTGTGACGTTGTTCATGGTTCGACAGCTGTGTGAAGCCGCCCTGTGCGAACAGACATATTCTCATTACACAAGAAGTTTGTTTATTCAGGCAGAAAAACTAGTCCTGCTACAGCGTATTCTACTAACCATTTGGCTCAATTATTTCGAATTAAATTCCAGGGACAATGCTTCTGCAGCATTCGTGACAGTGCACTTAGAAGAGCCAGAGAGAATAAATCAGCCGTGGCCACCTCAGATCTCCCAGGTCAACACTGTCCTGTTCTCGATGGCAACTCCCTTGAAAATCTGTGGGTGCACGTGGTGCACCTAAGGCAGTTTGCGACACGTTTTCAAGGGATCACTTTAACAATAGTTAAAACTATGGTCTTCACATCCTCTAAAGCCAATCCAGTACTCCTTTTCGTTAGGTGTTTCCATTCAGAGTTGGTATGTGAATCATTTTATTAAAATGCCATTCACAACATGAATCAGTTTTAGAAAAAATAAAAGAAGGAGGCAAGTGGAAAAACCGAAAGGTTTCGAACTTTTCTTTTGAGTTTTTTGCAAAAGTTTATAGTTTCCATTTTTTAAAGTGATAGCCTTAGTTACTTTCTATAAATCAATGTGATCGGCATTATTTGCCGCCATCATACCCCTCAGGAGCAAAGATAGGATGGGCGAGCAGCTTGTCTATGGACCAGCGCAAGGTATAGTCAGGCTCAATGCAGTGCTTCAGGAAGTCCTGCAACTCCAAGCTTATGCGTGCTGGGATCGTCGGGGTGCTCTGGAAAGACGGGTGCAGTCAAGTATTATAAGCCTGTCAATAGTTTATACAATCATGAAAGAAATTTTGCATAGCATTGAAATAACTTTTATTACAATTGCATTATGTCTACTTCATAGAATAGAAAACCCAACACCTAGCTTTAACGTATTTTACACTCTTATTTAGATTAGAAATCAGCAGAAAATGGGATTAAAAATCAGCAAAGTGAAGTTTATTACCTCAGTTACACGTTCTCCAACAATCAGAGATATGAGGATAAGACCCAGGCGGAACACATCCCGCTGCTTGGCGTCAGCTCCAGAAGAGCCGTATGTTACTGGAGCTTCTTTATTCAGGAAGTTCATGACGGCATCAAGAAGTATTCTTTCGATACAAAAGTCAGCAATTCGCACGTCATAGACTTTTTCGCCAGAAAATATACAAGAATCCCTCAGGTCGCCGTGCGCAACTCCCTGTTGGTGCAGGTAAGAGAGCCCTTTGAGGCACTCTTTAGCATACTCCAGGACGTATATCTCACGGAAAAGACCCTTCGTACCCAAGAGGAAAGAGAGTGGTCGCATGTCAAGATACGGCTGCAGGAGGTGAATTTTGATGTCAATGCTCGATCTAATAACACTGAAAGCCTCATATTCAACTATGTGAGAATGTGAGAGCTTCAACAGCTTTGGCAACTCAGTCTCTATCTTCTTCAGTTGCTGGAGGAACTCTTCCATGCGCACAGTCTCCCAATATGATCCTTTGTTGGCTGAAGAGTTTCTACGAGCCTTGATGTTACTTAAGCGAACTTCCCATGTATGCAAGACCCCCACGGTGTTTGTGGCAGGACTAACCACCTCGTACACCGTGTGGTAAGACTGCTGCTCCAAGTTCTTACTTAGCGGCCGCACAATTTCTACTATCACCTCTTCTCCTTTGGAATTAGTTAGAGACACATTCACTGTTTTCACTGTGGTGGAATTTTCCGTTATTGATCGCGAAGATCTGTGAACGGAATATATTTGCTCATTAATATAAAAGACATGAATAATCTAAAATAACAAAAAATACTAAACACACTACGCTTCCTCAATCCCACATTGAATTCACGACTCAAACTAGATATTGAACACACGGATGATGCAGAATTTGAAACTGAATAATTTAATTCAGTAACTAACTGAATAATTTAATAATTTCACCTAAATTATCCATATAAAAAGTTACCTTTTGCGCGTTGGCGTCTCATGCGGTACCGGCAGTGATAGGGAGCGTTGCATTGATTCAGACCGACTATGAAGATCAGCATTGTCACGGCGCTCAGCTCTCCGTCTGTGCATCATGGAACAAATTCATAACTTATTCAAGAGTATGGGTTTGAATTGCATCAAACACTGGCAGAAATTATTTGTGGTTATATTTTTTATTTGTGGTTCTTATTCAAAGTGATAATTTATTTTGAACAAAACACAGGAGTCAGTATTTAAATGATTCAAATATTCAAATCGGTTACAAAAATGTTTCAAACAGACTAGACAGCTCAGCTGCAAAACGTCATCAAACAATTATAAGTCAAATAATAAAATATTTCAAAAACTTCAGATGAATTAAACATTGCAGCAGATGAACAAATTTCAAATGAATAAAATGCAGATATCACATGACACTTGTACAGGCATTAAAATTGAGTGTTAGCAACTACAAGTCTTGATCTTGTCTCACATACTCATCAAGGTATTGTCGGTTAGCTGCCTCAATTTGTTCACTTTTGATTTTCTTCTGCTGTCGCTGTAAATTTTGTTGTTGTTCTTCTTGCTTCTTCTTGAGCAGCTCAACCTCCCGCTGACGCGCCAGACGCTCGTCGTGCACGCTAGGACGGTGGGGGCGGCAGTGGTCTGCTAAGTAGCTCTGCCCAGCAGTTAACATTACATCAGTTGCAAACTAGTTTACTGTTATCTCTTACCTAACTGGTTTTACTTTCAAGGTAAATTGCATTTTCGTGTATCAAAGATATAGGTAAACCATTTGGATTACTCTAATAAAACACATTCTGAGAATTGCTGGTCTTAATGGAAGAGATGTGAGCATTCTGGCAGAAAATTTCTCAGAAACTAACAACCCTAAGTTAAACACTCCCTCATAAAATACCATATTTTCATTCATTATGATTAATGTCCCAGTATATAATCTGTATATATGTGGAAAATTTATTTACGAAATTGGTATGGCAAAGTAGGAATTTTTTTCCATGATAAAACCTTTTGGATTATGCAGATGATTTTACAACGTAATTCTTGTTAAGAAATTACCTTGACTTCTCTGCAAACATCATAGAAGACAACCATTCCTTCAGAAGCAGCTTCCGTGATCTTCAATTTAACTATGGCTTCCAGCTCATCTTTCTCAGCCACTGTAATTCCTTGAAAATCCTCTATATGATAAATGGCAGGGCTGGAAATGTAAAACTTTAATAAGAAACTATTAAACATAATACTAAAATTTGTTCACTAAAGACTTCTTTTGTTTCTAGGCTTGAATGAAAAAGAGCCAATATTTTATGATAGGTATATAGTTACTGATTTAATTAAAAGATTCATTGATAAATACATAAGAAAAAAGACTAAAATCACAGATAAAGCTGAAAATATTACAATACTTTGAGGATTACGAAATATTACTAATTCTACAATATTTGCATTAATTACCTATTTCATATTTTGTATATTGAAGGTGCAAACCACAGCTTGATACACTGTCACTATGATTGAAATGTTATGTGGTGCAAAATTGTAATAGGTATGTGAAAATAAGGGGAAAAATAAAACTTCAATATTACGGTATGCAGTATTATGAAGCTACTGATATTACTAAAAATTTTTAATTTAGCTTCTGTTATTATTCAAATGAAATGCAAGAAATCACAACTTTTGCATAAGTGTAAGGCTTTTTAGCGCATTTTCTCATTTATGGAAAAAAGGCGCCGTTGTGCTTGTCATGTCCGTCCGTCCGTCTGTCAGTCCATCTAAGACTTCAAGTTTTTGTCAATGAGAAAATGTGCTCTCTGTCACTCACTGCAGTGAGTACCGTACTGAGTTATATTTTTTCCAAATGCTCTTATTTAACCCTTTAGGTACTGATGAGACCACTTGTCCCAAAGCCATCAGGTTAGAACAGCATTGATGATTATAATTGCATACATAGACAAACGGTCAAATTCTCATGGGTTTTGGGGCAGGGTTGGCAATGATTAAATCAAAATGATTAAATCATGTGATTAAATCACTTGATTTTTTTTATAAAAAAATCATAATTTTTTTGATTTTTTTGATTTTTCATATATATTAATATATTGAGTGGCAGACTTTAATTTATATTGAGATATTGTTATTCATGGTTTAGTATAAATGTACTATGAATGACAAATTGGTATATAAACTTGTTGCCTTTAGTGTGTATTAGGTTCCCATAAATTGAATGTTTTTGGTACAGAGGCATCAAGTGTGTAATACATTGTAGCTAGCAGCTTAGCTAATTCTTATAAGGCTATAAGTAGTCTTCAACTATTTGACTATTTGTTATATATTGATTACAATATACAATTTAAATTTGTTAGCTAGCTTATACAGGGTGGGGCAGAACTGATTGAACAGTTTTGGGGCAAAATAAAAGAGTAATGGAGGTACATAAAGAAGAAAGTTTATTTTCCTCAATATTAGCATATGATACCGTTAAAAATACTTATGTTTTGAAAACAATATCAGGAAAATGGGGTTTGTTAGCTGCATCACACTTTTGGAGTCATTCTCGGAAGTTTTCTACAGCACCTTCACACATATGGCGAGCTTTGGCCATAACCTCTGCTGCAATAATCTGTTCCCTCAGCTGTGGTAGGGTGTGAGGGTGACTTCTGAACACCCTTTTTTTTAGATGTCCCCAAAGAAAGAAATCACAAATGCTCAAATCAGGTGACCTTGCAGGCCACTGTAAATCACCCCTAAGAGACACCAGACCTCCGGGAAACATGCGTTTCAAAACATTGAATGACATTCGGGCTGTGTGAGCTGTAGCCCCCATCCTGCTTCATTTTCAACAATGTTTTCCATCATAGGCTGCAAGAAATTTTGCAACATTGCAGCATAGCGATTGTAATTCACTCTCATGGTTACTCCCTCCTCTGGGAACGACTCCAACAGTGTGTTGCAGCTAACAGTCCCCATCTTCCAGATATTGTTTTCAAAACATAAGTGGTATTCTAAATGGTATGTTATGCTAACCTCTAGGAAAATAAACTTTCTTCTTTATGTACCTCCATTACTCTTTTATTTTACCTCAAAACTGCTCAGTCGGTTCTCCCCCACCCTGTATATTGAGAGGTTGAGATTGTATTGACCTTTTAGGCAATTAGAAAGATTTTCCACCCTAATATGAGTATTCTAATTAAAGTATTTAATTTCAATCTTTAAATATGTGAATTTAAAACTAGAAACAAAACAATTACAATTATAAGACTATATATAAAATAATTAAATGCAGTGAATGGATAAAAAATATTTGAATTGTACACATGTTTATTTCAAACAGTATTAGATTTTCTCATAACTTTAGTCTCATTTCAAGTCGTATGAAGTTTGTTTGGTTATCGTTCAGTTTATGTTTAGTATTGGTTTATTGGTCTGAATTAAATGGGAACAGTGCAGTCATGTGTATAGAGGGTAGAGTCTGGTAGATTTATAGGACATAAAACTAGTAGATCTATTGATAGTGCTGTGCACTGTGCTATCAGCTACCTATCTGTTATGTGACTCTTCAATGTTTAGAAGATCTGCATTCCTGAAGTCTTTTTGTATATTGAAGCCAGTTATGGTCAATATTTAGCTCATTACCTTGCTCCATACAAACTTTACAAAGCTAATGAATAGACTAACCAATAATTGTTTACCCAAAAATCCCTAAGTGGTAAACACTACCTTGGCCTGTTGGCCATTATTGAAGGCAATAAGTGCCCTTTTTAACCATCCATTATGATCCATATACTGTAATTGTTAGTAGGCTAATTGCAACATAAAAAATAACACTTCAAAAAGACAAAAAAGTTGAAAAAATCAAATAAATAAAAAAAAAAAATCATGAAAAAAAAAAATTGTTGATTTTTTATTTTTTTGATTTTTTTTTAAAAATCAAAAAAATCACCAACCCTGTTTTGGGGCAATGTTATGCAATCAACAATTAGAAGATGATTGGTAGTTGGCTGAGGAACACAGACTAAAACACCAACCAATAACTTGCTCGCCAGACATTAATATGATAAAGATAATTACTAAAACAGAATCACTAAGTTGAAGTAACAAACATTTGTGGTAGGAAAAATGATTAACTTTTCATATTGGTGGCTTCTGTAAAAAAATATGTCATTGCCAGTCCGTGTAACCTACTAAATGAAAATTTCAAAATGTTTGGATATACAAACCTCTTAGGATATTCATGGTCAGTTTCTAGTTTGATTGTGACCATGATATGATGATCAGGCCTTGAGGGGGAACATGTGCCCAGAGGGGTGAGGTAGAGACGAACAGCAGTGGTGTTGTAATTGACTTCTTCAGCTGAGTCATGATCAGGGCATAAATTTTCAACCTCTCCTCCGTACATTGACTGTGGACAAGATACATAAATGATACACCAGTATTAACAATTTATTCTCAAATATATTCATACTAGTTAAAAGACCAATTTCCATAATATGGAATGAAAAAAAATTGTAGAAAGAATATTTGGGAAGATATTTGCTGTGTATAACATAAAAGGAAACAAATTGATGCCTAATATAGGTTTTCATATCACAAGTTCTGCTAATACAGGGACATAATGGATGTGGGCTGTCAAAATGGCTGGTAGTAAGAGTGATTATGATTAAATGAAAATATTTTTTTAATGCAGAATATACAAGCTTTGAAAATTAGGTCTTCATGCTTCCATGACTTGAAAATGAAATCAAAATTCGAAATTCCAGAAATTTACTAAAAAACAATTTACTCATGTAAGAAAAGACGCATGAAATAGGGTTTTCCATAACAATGGTGCCATATTTATTATTCTACAGATTTTTAAAGATTTACAAATGTTAATTTTTTACCAGAGGAAGTCCTCTACACTAATGTTTCTGCAAAGGAGTTCAGCTGTTCTAGTTTGCTCTTGGCAATCAGAAGATTTTCACTTGCTACCCATTTCTGAATTGTGGCGTGTTATTCAGCATACATGGTCTTCAATTAATGCATATAGAGTTTATGGCAATGTGAAGAAACAAATGCATGATATTCATTGTAAATGGACTATGAAAACTCCCAAGTTTTCACCTTCACAATTAGCGATGAAATGAACCCTAACTCATTACTTTTCTTCCCTAAAGTTCAGTCTCCAGATAAGTGTAAAAAGTAATGGTAATGGGTGCACTACATTCTTTTTTAACACTAGAGAAAATTAATGACATAGATGACCATCAGTTTGTTAGGTAATATATTATAGGGATTAATTCATCCTATACCCTTGATTACTTCAAGATAAAAGGGCAGTAAATATTATTCACAAATACTTTTGGCTTCAAATAAAATTCCATGCATATATACTACGGTACCATTCAAACTTCAGCAAAAATATCATTTAAAAATTCATATGTCTTGCTCACTTTTCAACAAATATTTCACATAATGGTAGGCTTAGTGCAGTGATAACATATAAACATGTTATTGGTAGGAGTGAACTGCAACAAACAAAAACCACAAATAAATTTATTTGCTGGGATGTTTATATTATTGAAGTAAAAGAATGTAAATTAAACTGTTGTCACAAGTTTCACAAGTCATGATAATAGGAGGACAAACCAGGATATACCAACTAAAAGTTAGATGAATCAAATTATCTTTCAAGAATCTTACCTGAATCAAGTCAATTTCACCATGAATTTCTTCTAAAGGAACTGGATCCATGCTTGGACCAGTGAAACTGAAATTTCTTCACATACCACACAAAAGATTTTGATACCTGAAAAAAATTTTTAGGTAGGGACAGTACACCTATAGATAAGTAGATACCTTTTTGGGTGCATGTGTATTTAAAATATGGTAGCTAGCAATAGTAAGTGCCTATGAATGTACTATGAATGCTGATAGCAAATTGGTATCCACAATCATATGCCACAGCCCACAGACCATATTGTTTATCTATAGATAAACAATATATATATATATTGTTTATCTGCATTCTTAACCCACATTGTGCAGTCCAGACCCTACACAGATTGAGAGTGCAGTGCTGCTTTGCTCCAGTTAGTAGGAATACCCAACAGTTATCCTTAAAGCCCTGATTGAGAACCGAGAGGCTTCAAACAGGCTCGGCTCTTCCCTATACGTTTCTTCACTAATTAGGATAGACTTTATTCCACTCGCAAATGAGATGGCGATATGGATTTTTCCATACTTACCCAGCTATTTATTTATAAGAGTTGACCAGTAACAAAAAATACGTAAACTTTGTATTAAAAGAGTTTTAATGAGAGGAAATTTCAAGAAACTTGGAATATTATTGTTCATCATGTCTGCGACTTTTTTACTTTTTTTCGATATGTAAACGGGTTGTAATTTTTATTCTCCATTGAATGGTATACTCAGCATTCCTTGATCAGCCTCCTTGTTGTAGATATTTTCTACCAAAAAACAGTTATGATCGAGTCTGCTGATACGCGGAGGGAAAATCCCGCATACTAGCTGCTCAAATGGAGACGTTGTGCAATGTTTGAGGGGAAAGAGACGTCGTAAATTACTCAATTGTCAGTTCACGACGGGTGGCATGGTAAAGGCAAAGTCAATGAGGGGACAATGGTCGGCCTAGTCCAATTAGTTATAGCCAACCGTTGGCCATTCCTCAGCCACCTGAAAGCAACCAGTTGCCGCGAAGAAGGGTCTGGCTAGGATATCATATTACAAAGAGTACAAGCTCGAGGGTAGCGAATGGCCAAGCTTCGGGCAGATCAAGGATTTTACACGATGGTCATGAAAACCTTGCTCACATACTCCGCTGCATTTTGACTACAAGCCTTAACATACTGTCAACCGGGGCTACTTGGGACGATTTTAAATGTTTTTCATTCATAACTTCTTACCATGAAACATTTCATAAACAAGTTTAAGCTCATTTCAAAGCTCTTTGCAAGGGCTATCACATGGCTTCTCCAAAAAAATTCCATATGCTATTCATAAGGTGCCAGAAGCAAAAAAAGTGACCCGAGTAGCTCCGTTTGACGGGGCTACTTGGGACACTTTGAATAAAACTTCATTTTAAAACATTTGAAGCATGCAGAGTGTACTAATCCATTACTAACAGTACTCTGAAGTCCTCCTCTTTCATTGTAGATGATGTAGAGGTAGAATAAATGACATTTTCTGTGATTTTTACTTGTTTTTCCTTTATTGATACATTAGGTACCATATACATTAATTACCGTATTATAGATGCAATATTATCATATTATTGATGCAATATTACCGTATCCATGAACATGGCAATGAGCATTTACAACAACCTTGTCCACTGCAAGCTTCATATCAGCAGCCTTATAGCATTTTTTCTTTATCTGTAAGCTTACAGGACAGCTTGTAATTTCACACCATTTTAATTGGGTTAAGTGAATTTACTATAAAAAAAGATTGCGAAAAACATACCTGAAACAGAAAGGAATGTTTTAGTGACAACCATCATATGTTTTGGAAAAATAAATCATAGTCTAGGTCAATTACTTTTCATTCTATGATGCCTGGTGCACAATTCTATATATGACATTCTATGCACAATTTTGTGATGACCGATGATGCCATAATTTTTTGACAAGTGAAATTTTTTTTGCTGAGCAAGGTAAATGTAATCGATATTCTTTGTTTTTAATCAATTTTTTTCTTAACTGGAGCCTTTGCTAACTGAGGTTCTACTGTAAATGCATTTTTGGGGGTGTCCCAAATAGCCCTAGGGGGGTGTCCCGAGTAGCCCCGCCATGCAGAAATGGCTGCCATTTCTTTTTGGATTGAGGTATGTAAATTCCGCAAATAAAGTTTTCATGCTGACACTTGTCTGCCACTTTTTTCTAAGCAAAATTTTTTAATACAGCAAATATTTTTTCACTACAGATGTTAGCAGAAGTAACTTTTCAAAATATCATTTTTCACCATTTTTTTCAGGAATTTTTCAAAGCTAGTAAATGTAGTATTTTTGAACTTCCTTTATACTACATAGATAAGAAAAATGTTAATGTTTACGCCACTATATTTAGTTTTGCAATATTCCAATTAGTTTTGCTACTAAAACAGTTTTACGCCTTGTTGGAGGACTGTCCTGAGTTACCCCGCCTGTCCCGAGTATCCCGGGTTGATGGTAGAAAAATTTTGTCAATGGGCATTAAAGGCCTAATACTGAGAATACATAACACAATAGAAAAATAAAAAAATTATGCATATCTAATAGGTTAAAAAATTTAAAATGTGACCCACGAAAAAGAGCTATTATTTAAAGCCTGTCATAGAACTCCCTCCAATTTTCTTATTTCTTGGTAAAATAACTCCAGGTTTTGGTGCATTGTATTAGAACTCTTCTAGTTACATAAGCAAATGACAAATTTGAGGAAAGCGTCATAGTTTGCAAATGGGGGTACCACCCCTGAATGCGGAAACTTAGACCACCTAATGTCAGCCTGACGGGGTAACATAGACCGGCTTGTAAATCAATTTAAAATTACCATATATAACATATTTCATGTTTGATACACCTATTAATGTTTTTTTTATGTTTCAGACTCTATAGAGTCTTATATATGGTAATTTTAACTAAATTTCCAAGCTGGTCAATATTATCCCTTCACAGCTGATATTAGGTGGTCCAAATTTCCCTATTTCGGGGCAGCACCCCCCATTTGCAAACTTTGACACTTTCCTCAAATTTGTCATTAACATATGTAACTAAAAGAGTTCTACTACAATGCACCAAAGTGACCAAAACCTAGAGTTATTTGGAGTTATTTTACCAAAAAATATAATTGATTTTACCACCCAGTCTAAGATACCCCATGAGCTGTGGTAACAAAGACCATCACTTTTTTTTAAATTACATAAAGACTATGAGAGGCAGGAGCCAGCAATTTATGGTAAGTGAACCTAGAGTATAGACCTGTATTTTGCATGTTTCAATCCAAGTTTAATTAGGCTAGTAAAAAATGGCATCATTTAAAAAAAGTAGTTTAAGTTACCCCATTTTACGGTACTTATTCGTTATTCATGTGGTACACATATGTAGTGCAAATCTATAGGTAATATAAAAGAACATGGTCTTACGAGTTATGACGATTTGAACCAATCAGTGCTTCTTCTTCTTCTTCTTTTCGGGGTGTCTACACTGGGTAGACTTAAAGCCACAGGTCGACCTCGAGGACGGCCGTTGGGCCTGAGAGCCTGTATTGTGTTTAAATTCTTCTGAGTAGGTAACCACTGAATTCTTGTTTATAGTAGGTCAGTGGATACAGTGGCTCAGGATGCAAACTGTGGAAAACAGGGCAAACATGGCACAAGAAAACATCCACAAGCAGGAGCCGCTGCTCAGACAGGATCCAACTACTTTTCATATCAAACTAGAAGAATGAATTACAAATATGACAAAATAGGCTATCTAAATATATCAGCTGTATTTACAATTCAGTTTAGTTTTACAATTTAACCTAGTTAAAAATAGCTGTATTTACAGTTCAGTTTAGTTTTTACGATTTAACCTAGTTAAAGTTCACTCAGTCTACCTGACTTCAGAATAAATGTGGTCAGAAACTGAAAGATCTTACGTTGTACATCACTGTTATAATTCCCTCCCCCCAGGAGGTCACGTATAGTAAATGGTACATTTAAAAATCTTAAATTAGTCTCCAGTTCTTGTCTGGGCTGTACATGACGTTGACATTGCAATAGGAAGTGCTCAATTGTATCTGTTGTGCTGCAGGTGATGCATTGATCGGAGTCGCTCATGTTGAACCTATGGAGGTGGCTTCTGACACCAGCATGTCCTATTCTTAGTCGGGCAGCTGCGCACTCCAGTCTTCGAGACTTCAAACAGAGCCAAGGACGCAGTCTAGGTTCTGTCTCTTATACACATCTAGATGTGTATAAGAGACAGCTCTGACATAGTGCCTGTACTTTATTTTAACACTGTTATCACACTATAAACAACAAACATGAAATCGAGGCTAGGATAGAATAAATATATAATACAATGACAGAGCAGATAATTAAAGTTGAACAAAGCAAGATAATTTAGGGTTATTGACAGGTGGAATGCTTATATAAATTTAGTTTTAACAATACAAGGAAATAGGAATCAATGATTCATGTTTAAAGCAAAACAAAGCTAAAGAAAAATATATATATATTTTTTTTAATTGATGGCAAATACAAATATACAATGATTAATTTTATGAATAAAGCTGAGCAATACAAGAATTCTGACTGACTGGGCTAATAGCACAAAGAAAAGAATATAATAAATTTATAGAGGAAAAGGAATAATATTTAACATGTTACATGATTGTTACTGAATAGATTAATATTAATAAATAATGAATAAATTCAGGCCTAGGCTGGCTCACAAACCTACTCCTGCCTACAGCCTCTTCTCGTGAAGAGAAGAGGAGGGGGGAGGGGCGAGAAAGCCAGCCGGGTTCTTAGTGCCGGACGTACCCTTGGTTTATATACTCGCGGTATATATAGAAGTACAGTCCAGGCCCTGTTTGTAATTAATTCTAAACGATTACTTGCAAGTTAGCTTTTACACAATCAAGGACGTAAGACACTATAGGTGTTTACTCGATGAACGCGGCTGACTCTCTCCAATCAGTGCTTCTTCATAGACTGCCGCACAGCACACTAGCACCTTCCTAAACAAAAGATAGCTACGCACTAAATGAAAGAAAGGGGCATACCAGCGTCATGTTGGCAGCAAGCTGCGCCAGCAGGCCTCATTTGGTGGACTGAATTTTTAATTTGAAAGCAAAAGGCTTGGACAAAGTGCAGTTTCAAGTTAGTTGGAGTGCAAA